TAATAGGGGGCCGAAGCACAGAGTGACCTCCCGTCACATACAATCCTCGCGTCCAGCTGCGGTACCTTTTCCCTCCGGTCAAGGTCAGTTCCTCCCTCCGGTCGTGGCCCATGTGTACAGTTTGTACTGGCAATGTACGTGCCAGTGACTCCCGTCTGTGTGTCCTCCACACTCTTCCTTTGCTCGTTGCACTTGCTCAGTCAAGAGTACTGTCTTGCACATTCTGTGTAGTGTCCGTCGCGCACCCTTCCGGATGCTCGCTCCTCTCCTCGTGTTTACCTCTTGTAAACGCTTTACTCGATTGAAGAACGTCAACGTGGCTCTTCACAGTCGAACCTTCGGCTCGCCTGCACCCCCCTTCGGGGGGATTGATTCCATAGTCATCAGGGAGTCCTCCGGAGGTGAACAAGGAGTCTATCTCTTATAAACGGGGTTGGCTAGGTATCTTGTGTGGTTCACTTGTAAACGCTGTGGAGAAAAGGGGCGTGAAGGGTGTATGTCTACTGTCACGATTATTTCTGGTGTTTATCGAGGCGCGTGGGCAGGATCGAATTGAGTTGCCGTGTCAAGGCTAAATGTTCTACTTCACATGCGCTGTTTGCTCCGACGACGAAGTTGGAACGGTGTCCGTGGCCACCGGAGTAGGGAAAGAGTCCTGCCTGTCATGACTGCGGCCCTTGTATTCACTTCCGCGAACCACCTACAGTGGCTAAAGCCAACGCCAAGACCCACCGGGAATCTACCTCAGACATTACGAGAATCCATCGTCTTCTTCCGCACGGACTGTCAAGGCGGAACGGTCAACTCCAGGCGATAAAAGATCTCTGACCGAGTAGCCGGACAAGGCCTCCACATGACTTCGCAAGACCTCACCTTGCGCCCACGAGAAAACTCGCGCTCATCCTCAGGTCCGATGGGCTGAATGACGTTTACCCACTCGGGAAACTTGACCAGGGCCACGTCCCCCCGTCTGGGAGTGACTGCAACGACACCGTACATGACACAGTCATTGACCCTCGCAAGACGTGTGAGCCGAAACATGCCCGGAAGGGGCTAAAGAGGTGGCGAAAGGACTGCTCCCAGCACTCGTACTGGGTCGTGTCGAACCAGCAGCAACACATGTTGTACCACAGCCGTAGCAAGGCCGGGTTGATGCACGGGGGACCGACAGCCCCCTCGCTCACTCGAGAGTCCATGTCCGATGCGCTAGAAGATGGGGAAGAGCCGGCCGGGCTCTCGTCAAACGACAGAAAGACCATGATGAGAACAGATCCGCCCACTGGGGCTGATACTTCACGGCGTATGATCTCGTCGCGGAAGAGACACAACCCTGTCTCCAAGATTCCTCCGGTCCAACAGCAACAGCAACAGCAAGGCTCACGCCCTCTTACCAAGCTGTATCTGCACACCCAAGTGGCAGAGAGGACCTCCGCCCGCCTGAGCCCGGTTGCATCAATAACGTGTTCCCGTTCCACTCAAACTTCCAACGAGGTAGAGTGGCTCCCGAGCCAAGAGGACGAAGAAACCCGCCTCGTGTCAAAGCCCCCACACCGCCTGATGTGGGAAGGGCAAACCGTCTCTCGGCCGGTTGTCGAAGAGTGGCGAACGTGTCTCTTAGATTTACTTCCGTAAAACTCACTGCCTGGAGTGTGAAACGATCAAGCCCGTTTGGGCCTACGTGGGTGGGCGCCCCGGGTTTTATACTTCGTATCTCATGTGTCCGGTGTCTGTCCCGGACGTTGGTGGAGTCAAGTAAGCCGTGCCGGCAACTGTCTCGTTGGACCCGCGCCCTCCCCGGTCGGTCAGCTGCTATGACTCGCTCCGTTCCCCCCTTGTCACTCCCGCGCTATGCACTGCAGCGTATCTACTTTGTAGTAACACACTGCTCTAGAACGTTGGGCCGTTGTGCCATGGCCCCCTATAAACCAAACTTAAGTAATAGGGGGCCTTTGGGGTAAGTGACCTCCCGTCACATACAATCCTCGCCTCCAGCCCAACACGTTTACAAGTCGTAGTCATTCCCCCGGCTACCAACCCTCGTCAACAATCCCCTTCCGAGATACGAACAGAACACCCGAAGGGTGTGCGCCGAGGCCGAAGGTCGAGGTGTGGATGAGATACTCACGAGAATTCAATCGAGTCACATCGTTTACAAGAAAACACAACCCAGTCAGGAGGAGCAAGCGTCTGAAAGGCGCGCGACGGACTCCCAACAAACATCCACACACCACAAACCTGAACAAGGTCACTCCACCACGCAAACACACTAAAACAATACCCGTTGGGCCCGCGACTGGAAGGAGTTTTGTATGAGCGGAGCGAGTTGGACGACCGGAGGGAGCCCTTTGACGGAGTCAATGGTACACGACAGGAAGGAGTGGACTGTAGGGGAGACGGATGTCGACTCTACCCCCGGGCCCCCTATCACTTAAGTTTGGTTTATAGGGGGCCATGGCACAACGGCCCAACGTTCTAGACAGCTTACGTTAGTATGACTGTGGTACTAGACCGAAAGGGACAGGATGGAGTGAAGGTAGTCATAAGAGCCTGGCGACTGGAGGGAAGACGGCACGTTGCTATTGGGTAGTTTGCCCGCAGGGCTTACATAGCCACTCCACTCTTGGATGGGTTGAGAACCCGGACACTGTACGCGTCGGAGACAAATAAGAAGAGGGCTTCGCCCACTTCCAGGAACCGAGGATGGTTTTTTTCGTTTTCTACTCATTTTCCCGGAGGGCAGTCAGCGGAGTGATTTGATTCCCTGCGGAATCACCTTTGCCTGTTCCCGACTCTTTGAAGGAGTCCACACGCAACGCTCTGCCCACCCGGCATCCGAGCCCAAGCGGGGAGACACGTCACACAGGATTGTGCAACCGGTGGAGGTTTTTCGCCATGGGTTTTCACTTGTGCTGGAGCACAGCTCTTGTTACTTCTTATCCAGCGATCGAGTAGCGCCGGCTAGGTCTGACATCGCACCCACGGAGTCTCGCTTTGACGGGAGTCTTTCCTCCTTGGTCAGTGGGGAGGCAGCATGGAACTGCCACCTTTGCACGCGACATGTCCTGCGGACGATCTTTCTGGCTTCATGCCGAGGCCCTGGCTTTGTTACTGCTGCAGTCACCGGTCTTGCTCTGCCTCCCGAGCCCAGCGCTGGTGCAAACGTTGGGTCTTCATCCACTCGGTCACGAGACACAGTCTGTCGACTTCTTCGCTTTCGGAGAAACTCAGCGGATGCCTAGGTCCCAGAGACTTCTGTTACTCGGCGGCACAGTCTGCACGGGGCGGCCTTTTCCATCACAGAGTGTTGCTCTACCTAGACCCGGACAACGGAGGGCTCGGCTCCAAGGATGGCGATAGACTGGAGACACTTCTGGCGGCAGCCCCTCCTATGGTCGCCTCGGAGAATGCGGGACTCTCGAGGTTCATCCTTGCACCGCTTTCTTGCTGCGTCGGAAAGATGCAGACGCAAGTGTCCCTTTGGCTCCGGGACATGATGAGGGAGGATGTCGTCCACTCGGGTTCTCGTCAGTTGTTGGACCATTTTTGGGACGACATGGTTGACACGGGCATATGGGAGGTATGACGGGCTTGATGCAGTCGTGCAGCTTTTTCTTTCGTTTGGTGGTCCTTTTCGAACACAGCGTCGGCGCTGCGGGTGTACTCGGCTTGTAGAGGGCCGACTTGCTCGATTGAGATTGAGTAGTTTCCGTTTTCGGATGTCACGATAGCTTCACCTCTCGAAGTGCAGATAGTATGCGCACATGGATCTCTTAATATTGAAGTGAACTTGACTTTTCTTCGTCACATGCTCTCTCCTTCTATGATCACACCCACCCGCTACAGATCAACACCACCCATATCGTAGACCTAACCCGTTTACAAGCTCACCCAATCCCGTTTACAAGGGACAGACTTGAAGATCACCTCCGGAGGACTCCTTCACGACTATGGAGGCAATCCCCCCAAAGGGGGGTGCAGACAGGCCGAAGGGCTGGCTGTGAAGAGTCACACTCACGATATTCGATTGAGTACGACGTTTACAAGCCGGTCTTCACGCGACGGGAGGAGCAAGCGTCTGAAAGGCGCGCGACGGACACTACACTGGACGACATAAGACGAGAGGCTTGACCGAGCGATCGTAGAGAGCAAGGGAACGAGTGAGCCAGGCGAACACAATTGAAAAGTACCGGGCACGTACGAAACACATACAAACAGTACCTCTGGGCCACGAACGGAGTGAGTTGATCGACCGGAGGGAGAGTTCGACGGAGGAGAAGGTACACGACCTGGAGGGGAGTGATGGGTGTGACGGGAGGTCACTCTGTGCCTTTGCCCCCGAATACTTAAGTTTGGTTTATAGGGGGCCATGGCACAACGGCCCAGCCCCAGTCCTAGGCAGCTTGAACGGCACGTGATTGCATGCGGTACTAGACGTATCGGACAGGCAGGGAGATACGTAGTCGTAAGGACCAATCAACCGGAGGGAAGAGGGTACGTCACAAGGTGTGGGTTGCGCAGCTTCCACACACCCACCCAGAATCGGAAGGGGGGGGGGAACCCGGACGCAGGTGGGGACCACAGACGGGACGGAGTATAAAGGTCGTGGACCGCCCACCACCAGTTCCATCATGTTCCTGGGTTGCCGACGCCACCCACACCGCACGTGACAGCGTCACCGCCTGAGGGCATGGAGACGAGGGGTTTCTTTCCTTTGCTCAGAGCAAACTTGCACTTGTGCCTTTCGCGGCCGCGTCGAAAGACGTATAGGACGCCGACCACTCCACGCGTTGATCGCAACTTCTAGCCCTTGGGGCGACTTTATACGTGCCTTGCACGGGTGGTGTCACCTCCCTCGTTTCCTTCCCCACGTCCCGTCGGGACCTGCTGAGAAGCCTTGGCCACAGCTGCTCGTTCAACCGGGTTGGTTGATTTTGTACGCCATAAGGAAGTCGAAGACGGATCAACAGTCCGAAGGATAACCTGTCGGAAGACACACAGGCATGGCCCTGAGCGCTGAACGGATCTTTGCGGCAACTTCTCGCAAGTCCCTTCGCGTACACTGCCCCATGAAACTGGCCGCCAGTGGCATTTACGGTTACTTACGAAGCCGAGCGTGTGACTCGGAAGAGAATCCCGTCTTCGACGTGGACAGGCTCTGGTCCGTCGATGCTCTTTGCATCAAGGCAGGAAGCCCTTGTATGGTGGTTGTCTACTTCCTTCATGACACCGCCGAGCACATGGACAGCTGTTGGAAACAGTTGGAGGCGTCTCTGGCCGTCGACGCCGACGTTTACCGCTTTGCCCCCGGTGACGCAGGCGGGGCTGGTCATTCCGCTGCATTCTTGTTCAGCCACCTCTCACCATTGGTGGGACCTATGACCTACCGAGAGGTTCAATTGGCTGTCGAGCATTACCTTGGCTGGTGCTCCAAGTTGGACAGGAACATTCCCGCTGGAAGAGTGCGCAGCGGATGACGGTGGAGCTTATTCCCCCGTCGAAGAGGACTGGGTGGTTCAAGGCCAGGGAAAAAGGGTTTTCAGACCGTGTTGACAAAGGTTTCGGCATCGGATGGGGGTTTCCCTGCATCCCTCCTTGCAAAGGAGAAGTGATGGACTTGATAACGGACACAGTTCCGGACGTGATGGACCTGCTGACGGACACATCGACTGACGTGGCATCGAACCCCCTCATCGGCGAAGAGCAGGGTGAGAGTAAAGGACGCACTCCACTTAATAATGTGTCCAGTCACAGTGAGGATATACCGATAGAGTATGAATAATGACTGGGATCAAACAGTCAACCGTTGACAAGTATGCAAAACAGCCTTAGTATTTGTCTTCATACGTTTACAAGAGAATCCATTGCAAGTACTCCACTCTGCGCATAAACCCCGTAGGGCCCTTCATCGTTATGGTCAATACCTCCGAAGGAGGTGCGGACAGGCCGCAGGACTGGACGTGGAGAGCCACGCTCAAGAGACTTCAACTGAGTACATCGTTTACAAGAAAGTCCACTCGGCACAGGAGGAGTGGGCGTCTGAAAGGCGCACGACGGACATACAACCACTCCAACACCCGCTCAGTCCCTACTTAAGTCACTTCACCACCCGAGACACATACAAACAGTACCCGTTGGGCCACCCCGACCGGAGGGAGGTGCTTGAGCGGAGCGAGTCTTTGCACGACTGGAGGAGTCAAAGGTACACGACAGGAGGAGTGGACAGGTGAGCGGGACGCGAGCATGGTAGGAGTGCCGGAGGTCACTGCTACTCTGAGGCCCCCTATTACTTAAGTTTGGTTTATAGGGGGCCTCTGCTCCATGGCCCAGTCTTTAGACACCTTTCACGCACGTGATTGAGTGTAGTACTAAATTGAAGCGACCGGGGGAAGCTCAATCGTCATAAGCACCAATCAGAGGGACGAAGGATGGTACGTCACAAAGTGCTGGTTACGTAGTTTCCTTGCACCCCACACTTGGACGGGTGCTGCACCCGGACACAACAGACACCAGAGGTATAAAGAGGGGGGCCTCGCCCACACACAGGACACTGGATTGTTCTGCTTTCCACCTACACACTCAACCCAGCGGTTGACATTCGCTTGTCTAAGCACGGACACGATGGAATAGCACCCACGGATCTAGGAGAGTGGTCCACTCCTCCACTACGTGCACGCTGCGCGCTGCACTCGCTCTGTCATTCCCGGAGAGGGTATGTATTGGTATCCAGGCTGGATATGGACAGATTGGTTCTGTCCTTTTCAGGCGAACCGTGTTCGTCAAACGGCAAAGCAAAGCAGTACGTGACTGGGAAGGAACAGTCGGAATGAAGCGACAGGAGAAGCAAAAAGGGAAAAGGAGACGGGAAACAGGGGAGGTGATACCCTGCCGGCGGCCCTTTGGGTCCTCGGCTGCGCCTCGCTCGGAAGCCTTCTCGTGAGAAAAGGGCTGGACAAGTGTCCACTGCACTCCCACTGCGCCCTGCACGGGCTCCGTTTACCGTTTGCTCCCGGGGAAAATTCTTGAACATGCGTTCAACACCGCAAGGGTGTCTCACTGACGGCGTCACCACGGACAGAGACCATGGAGTCGATCTCATGACGGATATTCTTTGACCCGTGAGGGTTTCAAGGCAACGGCCCTTGTCGCACTTCTCTTTACGAGGCGGTAAAGGCTTCCTTGCTCGACTTACATTCGATATGCTTTGTCTATGTTCCGCGGAACGGTGAAGCGCGAAGCAGCGGAGGCTCTGGTCAATGACCGCTTGGACGCCCGGAGGGGCACGAGAGTCAAAGCCGCGGAGGACTGGATTGCCTTGGGGCGTACTCTTACGAAGTACTCGGTCATTGTTTGTACAACCCTCCCACCCAAGCACGGGAGACACCCACCACGCAACAGATACATGCAGCAGCGCATTGGTCCGGCCACATCGCATCTTTGACACCCCGCCTGCCTAAACCAGTGCTGGGATAGCTTCACTTCCTTGTGCACAGGTAGACTCAACCGTGCAGGATGAGCAACAAGCCCTTGGACATACATTGTAGACCAAGCAAGTGACGGCAAGAACGCAAGGAGTATAGTAGCAGTGCACGAAGATAATTGATTTGACCTGGATGAGGTCACCAGGCTACCGACTGATCCTCACGGTGAAGTGATGTGGTGAACTTCTCCATGCGTTGACAAGAGAGCCACCCCACGTACTGTATCCCACTCACCCGGCTACGCATCAACACCCACGGACAAACATCGTAGACTCCCACCCTCGTTTACAAGTATTCCCAATACGTTTACAAGTAGTAGTCACTGCCCCGGCTACAGACAACCATCTCCAATCCCTTCCGAGATACGAACACAACCCCCGAAGGGGTGCACGCGCCGTAGGGGCGGGTGTGGATGAGATACTCACGACTCTTCAATTGAGTGAGACGTTTACAAGAACATCGACACAAGACGAGCACTCTTGACGGAGCAAGCGTCCACCGGGCGCGCGATGGAACAAGACACACCACACATCTACACCTGCTCACACACACCCAGGTCACTCCGCCATACAAGCACACGGACAAAATACACACTGGGCCCGCGACGGGACGGAGCATGTCTGAGCGGAGCGAGTCTTTGCACGACTGGAGGGAGTCAAAGGTACCGCAGCTGGAGGCGAGGATTGTGAGAGGGACGGAGTCACTCGGACACCCAGGCCCCCTATTACTTAAGTTTGGTTTATAGGGGGCCATGGCACAACGGCCCAGCCCCAGTCCTAGGTAGCTTTCCCGCTCAGGGATTGACTACAGTACTAGAAGGCTCGGACAGGCAGGAAGAGTCTTAGTCATAGGAACCAATGGAACGGAGAGAACAGGGTACGTCACTTGTGCAGTTTGCACAGCTTACATGCACATATCCACTATTGACCGGGCGGGAGACCCGGACACATCCAGCATACGGGAAGTATATATAGAGGGGGGTGCCCCCCCTCCAACACACACCAGAACCTGGCACGGTTCTCTTCTCCTTCTTCATTTTGAAGAGGAGGCAAGGGGATGGAGGCGCTACCGCCCCTCGACTGGAAGCGATAGGTAAGAGCAATTCACAATACCGGGAGGGTTGACTCGGAAAAGACACAGAGTGGGTCAGTCGCTGGAAGACATCCAAAAGGTGAGTGATCCGGAGCCGGGCGACGAAACATTTGTTCTTTGGCCGTGAGACTTTTGCTTACGTATGCACACAGCTGTGGGACACGACAGGTCCGGGCAGGACTGATCTTCTTCTTTTTGAAGAATCCCGGGAAGGGCATGGAGGCGCTACCGCCCCTCGACTAGACAAGTCGACGGATTGAATCTGATCGACAATCCCGAGAGGGTTGACTCGAAGAAGGCACAGAGTGGGAATGGCTACTCACGGGTCCACAGCACTCCCACTGCGCCCTGCACGGGCTCCGTTCACCGTTTGTTCCCGGTAACATATCTTGAACATGCGTTCAACACCGCAAGGGTGTCTCACTGACGGCGTCACCACGGACAGAGACCATGGAGTCGATCTCATGATGGATATTCTTTTGACCCGTGAGGGTTTCAAGGCAACGGCCCTTGTCGCACTTCTCTTTTACGAGGCGGTAAAAGGTTTCCTCCCCGACCCACATGGGACGTGCTTGTCTCTATCGCGGGGAGGCATCATCACTTTACCTAGATGTCCGGAGGGGCGCAAGAGTAAAAGCCGCGGAGGACTGGATTGCCTTGAGGGGCATTTTTAGGAAGTTACTCGGTCATCGATCGCAGAACTCCCCACGGGAGACGAGTGGTCCACACACCGCTGGGGACACACGCAGCAACGCATCGATCGGTCCGGAGGGGATCATCACCCCACCCGCCTCGACCAGGCCTGGGAATGGCTTCACCTTGGATGATGAATGGGCTGTGCCCGCCACGCTAGATGTGGAACTCCATCCCCGCCTGCCCAATACAGTAGTCGTCTGTCGTCATGGCCTCACAAAACACGTAGACTCCAAAGCGTTTACAAGATGCAAGATGTAGAAATGGAATGAGTAGTACACATAACTAGTAACCGTCCTATCTAAGAGACTCTGGTCGAGTGACGAGAGGAACCGTAGGGGCGACGGGAGGAGCGACACTCGATATGTTGACAAGACGGCTTCGAATGATGGCAGAGGAAACCTTTTGAGTAATCTACTACCTGACACCGTTTACAAGGTGACCCAAACACGTTCACAAGAGAAAACCCTTCAAGTAAACTACTCTGAGTGATCACCTCCGGAGGACTCCTTCACGACTACGGAATCCACGCCCGAAGGGGGTGCGACCAGGCCGTAGGACTGGGCGTGGAGAGTCACACTTGCAATCTTCAATTGAGTGACGCGTTCACAAGGGAATCCACCTCGACAAGAGGAGCGAATGTCCGACAGGGCATGCGACGGACTAACCACAACACACCAGACACTGACAGTCTTGAACAAAGTCACGCCAACACCCGAAACACATACAAACAGTACCCGTTGGGCCACCCCGACCGGAGGGAGGTGCTTGAGCGGAGCGAGTTTGGGACGACTGGAGGGAAGTCAGAGGTACCGAGCAGGCGGCGAGGGACTAGTAAAGGGACGGAGTCACTTCTACTCTTGGGCCCCCTATATCCTTAAGTTTGGTTTATAGGGGGCCATGGCACAACGGCCCAGCTCTAGGAACGGATGTCTTGACAAAGGCAGAAAGTGATGTACTAACAGTTCCGGAGAGGATTGGAGGGACTGAGTGCTAAGAGGCTACTGCACGGAGGGAGGGGGCCGCGTCACATGTCAGCTTCCCAAAGGGTTGCATGACTCCACTACCGGTCGGGTTGAGAACCCGGACAAACAGAGACTAGAAGGTATAAAGGTCGAGGACCGCCCACATTTTTTATCCATGGAATGGAATTCCTCTCGTCTTTCCTTGCGTCACAAGAAAGCAAGCTATGGAGCCCACGGCAGAGCACCTTTACGCGCTTAGCGACAGCGGCCAGGAGTCCGCGATCAGCAAGGAGGCACCTGGAGGCTGCACAGACTTTGCACTGCATGCAAATACGATGTTTGTCACGTACACGGGCAGTCGTATCCACGACAAGGAGGAGTTTCACCAGTTGTTGAGGGAGTCGCTCACACCGGGTTTGCCCCGGATCAGTGGCACCAATGGAAAGGTGGGAACCGTGAAGATATTTGGCAGCAGGCAGCTGCACGACGACGGTACTCGTCAATACCATGTGTTGCTTATGTTTCACCCGCGAGTACATTGGAACAGCGCCCGCGACAAACTCTCCGTCTGGATGGACGTGGACGGTAATCGTGAGGTGGACACGACGGACGTCGAAATCCGCAAGAAACCTTTCGGAGAGACCGCTGCCCAGTTCTTGCAGAGCGTGCAGGATTACATCGCCAGGGGCGGTGATGTCTTCGGCGAACGGATGAGTGTCCAGTCGTCGCCTGATGGGGCAGGCTCGTTCTGTGTCCCGTTCCCTTCTTCACGGGAGAAGAATACTAGACTGGTGTCCACGACCCGACAAGGAGATGGAGGCGCTACCGCCCCTCGACTCGAAAGAACGGAAGACTGTTCTCTTCATCTACTTCCTCTTTTTCGTTAAAAGAGAACAAAGCAGGACAATGTGAGCACTGGTTGGTGCACAGCACTCCCTCTCCGCCCTGGACGGGCTCCGATCCCGTTCTGTTCCCGCTCGTGAAGCTCAAGTCGGTATCTTGTTCACGCGCTCCCACTACGCCCTGCGGGCTGCGCTCCCTTGTTTCCCCTCTTTGAAAAGAAGGAAATGCACTATGCGCTCCGGCGCTCCGTCGAGTCCCGTACCCGGCCAACACGAACAGGATGGGAAGTGGCTGTATACACTTTTGGTGAGTGCAACGAGCCGGTGGAACCCTGCCGAGAGGCATGGTATCTATCATACTCCGCGGGGGATGGAGTAGTCACCCGGAAGGGCAGGAGGTTGACCTTGTTGACGTGCCCGGAGATTGCATTGCGCGGAGCTGAGGACTCGTATGGTCGAGAGACAGACGGAGGATAAAGACAGAGGATGCACGCGGGAGTGCACTGGCCTGGTCACACATCGCACCGTAGACACCCCACTTGCCCGATACGGCAATCGTGATGGCTTCATCCGACACGTACACTAGACTTCATCAATTGAGTACATCGTTCACAAGGGAAACAAAGACGGCAGGCTTAAGGCCGGAGCAAGACAGGATGAGTGACGGGAAGGAACACATAGATAGAGTAGAGCGATACGTTTACAAGGTGTAGATACAAGATGGTGGACCCACACACGTTTACAAGGTGAAACCCTTCAAGTAATCCACTCCTCTGATCACCCCCGGAGGGCTCATTCATGACTACGGAACCCACGCCCGAAGGGTGTGCAGGCGAGCCGAAGGTTCGACTGTGAAGAGCCACACTCACAACTCTTCGACCGAGTCAACACGTTCACAAGAACAACTACACAGTCACGGGACGGAGGACCTGCGAGTGCAACGAGCAAAGGGACGAGATCAAAACACAACAGACGGAAACACGGACTGAGTGAGTTCAACGACACACACACACAACACTCTACTCTGCTCTACTGCTCACTCAGTCACCCACCCACTTGACCACACAATGCACCGACACCAGCTCAAGCCAGACTCAAGTCACTCCCACGCGTCAAACACGTACAAACAGTACCCGTTGGGCCCGCGACTGGAAGGAGCTGGTCGACCGGAGGGAGCCCTTGGACGACGGGACGGAGGAAAAGGTACGAGCCTGGAGGGCGAAGTTACTGTGGGTGACGGAGTCACTCACTGCATGTGCCCCCTATTACTTAAGTTTGGTTTATAGGGGGCCATGGCACAACGGCCCAGTCACTAGGCAGATTGAACGCACGTGATTTACTGCAGTCATAGGCGGAAGCGACGGGGGGAGCGACGCAGTGCTAAGAGCGAATGAGCCTAGAGGGATCACGCCGTCCATGGAAAGACAGCTTGTGTAGCTTGCGTAACTTGCATGTATCCACTACTGGCCGGGGCAGACGCCCGGACAGAATGACACCGGAGGGTATAAAGCGGGCAAGGTGCCCCAATGTTGAACTCGGATGAGTTGTCTCCCTTGAGTCTCGTTTCCTGCGTGGCAAAAGAGAGCGAGAGAGATAGAGAGAGGAACGATGTCTTCCACCATGGAGGTTGATCCTCCTGCTAGTGATAGCGGTTATGAGTCTGTCGAGAGGGATGCTCGCGAGATCCCCGGAGTGACCGAGAAGCATCAAGACTTTGTGTTCCATGCAAACATGGCGTTTGTCACCTACACCCGCAGCCGGGTCGAAGACCCAGAGGAGTTCCACAGGTATCTACGAGAGTCGCTGGCGCCGAGCCTGCCACGGGTTAACCGCAGGACTGGACAGGCAGGAACAGTACAGGTCTACGGCTGCAAGGAACTGCATGAGGATGGCACTCCCACTATCATGTGATGCTCAAGTTCGAGCCCCGCGTGCACTGGAGGAACGCCCGTGAAAAGTTCAGGGTCTGGATTGATGTAAAGGATGGTCGTGAGGTGGACACGACGTCGATCAACATTCACAAGAAGCCGGAGAACGAGACGCCTGCGTACTTCCTGCAGTGCGTGCAGGCTTATATCGCCAAGGGTGGCGACGTCTTTGGCGAGTGGATCGGTCCCAAGACGACGACGGCGTCGGAAAAAGACAAGTACTTGGAGCAGGCGGTTGAGACGGAGTCCCGCGAGGAGGCGGAGACGCTGCTCAAGACGCATTTCAAGTCCTGGTGGGTACGTAACCATGCGAATTGCCAGGCTTTCTTGAGGACCAAGAAGGGTCCTTCTGCCAAACCCCATGCGCCTTCCTTTCCTCCCTTACCCTGGAAGGTGCCGAGAAGGTTGCTTCAGTGGCGGCAAAAGAACTTTGACGTGGCCCGGCTTGGTCGTCCGACATGTCTCGTCATCGTCGGTCGGCCCCGCTCTGGCAAGACCGAGTGGGCTCTTTCCTTTGGTCGTCCAGCTCACATGACGGGTGAGTGGAATATGGATGAACTCATGAAGCCGGACATTACACATGTTGTCCTCAACGATATCAAGTTGAGGGCTTTTCCCTACAAGCGTGACCTTGCTGGCTGTCAGGAGTACATCACCGCCACAGGCAAGTACCGCGAGCAGCGGACCATTCGCATGGGTATACCAGTCATCTGGACTTGTAATGAGGACAATGATGTTACCAAGGACAAGGATATTGGTCAGTATTTGCTTGAGACAGCCGTGATTTATCGTGTGCCAAAGGGGAAGATGTTGTATGGGAAGTAGATACAAATCGAGAAGATGCATTGTTGTGACACCGCCAGCATCGTAGATCAAAATCGTTTACAAGCTCACCACATTGCCCCGGCTACCACCCTTCATCTCCAACCCACTCATGACTATGGAATCAATCCCCCGCAGGGGGTGCGACCGAGCCGAAGGTTCGGGCGTGGAGAGCCACGCTCAACCATCTTCGATTCAGTAGACACGTTTACAAGCCGGTCTTCACGCGACAGGAGGAGCAACCGAAGGGCGACGGACACAAACACGACAACTTGCACACACACAAACCCCAAACACATGCTGGGCCCACGAGCGGAGCGAGTTGAGACGACCGGAGGGAGGAACTGCCCTTGAGTGGAACGAAAGGGTACACGCCTGGAGGGCGGGTGGACTGTGTGACGGGAGGTCACTTGTCAGAAAGGCCCCCTATTACTTAAGTTTGGTTTATAGGGGGCCATGGCACAACGGCCCAGCCCATAGAGCAGCTTGAACGCACGTGATTGCATGCAGTCATAGGCGGAAGCGACGGGGGGAGCGACGCAGTGCTAAGAGCGAATGAGCCTAGAGGGATCACGCCGTCCATGGAAAGACAGCTTGTGTAGCTTGCGTAACTTGCATGTATCCACTACTGGCCGGGGCAGACGCCCGGACAGAATGACACCGGAGGGTATAAAGCGGGCAAGGTGCCCCAATGTTGAACTCGGATGAGTTGTCTCCCTTGAGTCTCGTTTCCTGCGTGGCAAAAGAGCGAGAGAGATAGAGAGAGAGGAACGATGTCTTCCACCATGGAGGTTGATCCTCCTGCTAGTGATAGCGGTTATGAGTCTGTCGAGAGGATGCTCGCGAGATCCCCGGTGACCGAGAAGCATCAAGACTTTGTGTTCCATGCAAACATGGCGTTTGTCACCTACACCCGCAGCCGGGTCGAAGACCCAGAGGAGTTCCACAGGTATCTACGAGTCGCTGGCGCCGAGCCTGCCACGGGTTAACCGCAGGACTGGACAGGCAGGAACAGTACAGGTCTACGGCTGCAAGGAACTGCATGAGGATGGCACTCCCACTATCATGTGATGCTCAAGTTCGAGCCCCGCGTGCACTGGAGGAACGCCCGTGAAAAGTTCAGGGTCTGGATTGATGTAAAGGATGGTCGTGAGGTGGACACGACGTCGATCAACATTCACAAGAAGCCGGAGAACGAGACGCCTGCGTACTTCCTGCAGTGCGTGCAGGCTTATATCGCCAAGGGTGGCGACGTCTTTGGCGAGTGGATCGGTCCCAAGACGACGACGGCGTCGGAAAAAGACAAGTACTTGGAGCAGGCGGTTGAGACGGAGTCCCGCGAGGAGGCGGAGACGCTGCTCAAGACGCATTTCAAGTCCTGGTGGGTACGTAACCATGCGAATTGCCAGGCTTTCTTGAGGACCAAGAAGGGTCCTTCTGCCAAACCCCATGCGCCTTCCTTTCCTCCCTTACCCTGGAAGGTGCCGAGAAGGTTGCTTCAGTGGCGGCAAAAGAACTTTGACGTGGCCCGGCTTGGTCGTCCGACATGTCTCGTCATCGTCGGTCGGCCCCGCTCTGGCAAGACCGAGTGGGCTCTTTCCTTTGGTCGTCCAGCTCACATGACGGGTGAGTGGAATATGGATGAACTCATGAAGCCGGACATTACACATGTTGTCCTCAACGATATCAAGTTGAGGGCTTTTCCCTACAAGCGTGACCTTGCTGGCTGTCAGGAGTACATCACCGCCACAGGCAAGTACCGCGAGCAGCGGACCATTCGCATGGGTATACCAGTCATCTGGACTTGTAATGAGGACAATGATGTTACCAAGGACAAGGATATTGGTCAGTATTTGCTTGAGACAGCCGTGATTTATCGTGTGCCAAAGGGGAAGATGTTGTATGGGAAGTAGATACAAATCGAGAAGATGCATTGTTGTGACACCGCCAGCATCGTAGATCAAAATCGTTTACAAGCTCACCACATTGCCCCGGCTACCACCCTTCATCTCTAACCCACTCATGACTATGGAATCAATCCCCCGCAGGGGGTGCGACCGAGCCGAAGGTTCGGGCGTGGAGAGCCACGCTCAACCATCTTCAATTGAGTAGACCCGTTCACAAGCCAGTAGATACACCACAGGAGGAGCAACCGAAGGGCGACGGACCATACACAACAACTTGCACACACACAAACCCCAGTTCAAGTCACTCCGCCATACAAGCACACTGCAAACAATACCGTTGGGCCACCCCGACCGGAGGGAGGTGCTTGAGCGGAGCGAGAACGGACGACTGGATGGAGGACACTGGTACGAGCAGGCAGCGAGGACCTTGTAGGAGTGAGGGAGTCACTGCTACTCTTGGGCCCCCTATTACTTAAGTTTGGTTTATAGGGGGCCTCTGCTCCATGGCCCAGTCACTAGGAACGGAATGTCTTGACAAAGGCAGAGAGTGATGTACTAGCAGTTTTGTACTGGAAGGAAAGACTGAGTGCTAAGAAGGTACCTGACGGATGGAAGGTGGCCGCGCTATTGGTCCAGCTTCCAACGCAGTGGTTGCGTGACTCCACTCTTGGACGGGTAGACACCCGGACGGTATCACCTCGATACGGAAGGAGAGGAACATAGAAAGGGCGAGAACGCCCACGAGTAGAGCGACTGTCGGGGAGACGTCAAATCTCTTCTTTACCTTTTCAACGGAGTATAAAGACCATGGGTCGCCCAACCCAGAACTGTGGACGGTTCACTTTTGATATATTTTCCTTGCGGAAATCAATCGGCTCGCAGAACGACGGAGTGGGATATTGCCTGGTGCAATTGTTTTCCCGCTGGTTCTTCATTGGGCTCTTGGGCAGAGTCGCCCCGCAATGGCGTGAGACAAGATGGATTGACTGGTCTACCAGCCCGAACGCGTCCTTTGTCTCTCTAGAGACGCGCTACGGAGTAAGTTAGGGGCCGAGGTGCCCATATATTGTTTACATTTGTGCTGGACACAAATCTTCTCCTTTCACTTCACCTAGCGGCCGGGCAGCCTTGATCTGGCCTCCCAACTCTACGTACGTACGTTCCCGGAGCGGAGCCTGGGCCAGAGTCTCTCTTCGGTTCGTCAATTTTGGGCAGCATGGATCTGCCAGCTTCCTGCGAGACAATTTTTGCCCGCCCTTCTCTGCCCACGGCAAGGACACGAGACCGCGGATGCTGCTGCAGCCATCCGTTTTGTTGTTCTCTACGGATTCAGCGCTTCTGCGAGCGGTGGCTTTTTCTCCTGTTGGTGACAACACACAAGCGCTCGGCTTCTTCTTTTTCGGAGACTCTAAGGGACTGTCTGGGTCCCAGGGACTTTTTCTACTCGGTGGCGCAGCGTGCGCAGGATGGCCTCTTCATCCACAGGGTTCTACTGTGGGCTGGCCCGAACGCCGGAGGGTTCAGTCGCGAGGATTGCTGCACGCTGCAGACTCGGCTTGGACCTTCACTTCCTCCAGTTGCTGACAATGAGTCGGCCGGTTCGGACTGTATTGCTGTGCCACTATCATGCTGTATGGAGCAGATGAAGGCGCATTTGCCTTTTTGGATTTTTCACATGACCACGGAAGGAACTGTCACCTTTGGTTGTGATGGGCTTTTGAACAAGCTCTTGGATGAGATACGGGGCGAGAGTGAGACTGATAGATGACTTTGGTCATCGTTATATTCATTTTGCATGACGTTGGTGTTCAACGGTTTTCCTTTTTCGGATATCACGATGGCTTCGTTTTAACGTAGATGAAAAGACCGATCCAGAATAGCGGCAGCACGGTCAATTGACTGTATCCACGAACATGGTAGAATCATAGACTTCACACCGAGGATTATAATCACACATGCGTTTACAAGTATTCCGTAGACGTTTACAAGGGGAAACCCTTCGCGTAATCCACCTGGTATGATCAACCCCGTAGGGCCCAGGCAGGACTATGGAAAACAATCCCCCCAAAGGGGGGTGCGACCGAGCCGAAGGTTCGGGCGTGAGAAGCCACACTGACTCTCTCCAACCAACACAGCCCGTTTACAAGCACATCCACGTTCACGAAGCACAACACACTGAATGACGAACGACACACAACAGACAACTCCACCCAGTCACTCAGTCACACCCGCGCACGTGAACACCATACAACCCTCAACAACCAATCACACACTGGGCCCGCGACGGGACGGAGCATGTCTGAGCGGAGCGAGTCTTTGCACGAGTGGAACGAGGTCAAAGGGACTTCGACTGGAGGGCGAAGACAGGAGAGTGAGGGAGTCACTCGGACACCCAGGCCCCCTATTACTTAAGTTTGGTTTATAGGGGGCCATGGCACAACGGCCCAGTCACTAGGCAGATTGAACGCACGTGATTTACTGCAGTACTAGGTGGAAGAGACCGGGGGGAGCGACACTGTCATAGCAGCCAATCAGACCGGAGGGAAGAGGCGGGTCGGGGAGACAGGTTACGTAGTTTCCATGTTCACCGCCTTAGTCAGTTGGAGGGGTGACGTGAGAAACCCGGACGCTGGTGGAGCCACTGCTGGAGCATCAATCCTATTGGTTGAAACTCTCAGGACCCTTGACATTGGGTTCTGCAAGGTGGAGTCAGGCCGTCGAGAGCGGCCCTACAAGAAGGCCCTCGGGGAACTAGGAAGAGCCCTTGTTCTAGTTCTTCCATGCGAAACGGTGAAGTGAGTCTTGGGATTTTCCAAATCTCCCCACTTTCTCGTCTCAGTAGACGTTTTGTTTTCTGGCGTGGAAAGCCTGACGCTGTGTCTGCGACTAGTTGCAAGTGACGGGGGACTCGTCAGACCAGTTTCCTTCGTGGGTGTACACCTTTCTTGGAGAGAGAGTTCGTGTTGGCAGATGTAGGACTGCCGCATGAGCGAGTAGGCTAACGGTTTACGCTTGTCTTTCTTCGGATTGACAGCCAGGTGAGCTGGCCTAGTTCTCTGAAGATCTGGATCTTGTTGCTGACACGGCTGCAGCGGCTTTGAACCGCGCTCACTCTTCTATAGCACCCGGTGATAAGGGTGTCCTACTACGATCTCTACTAGTGAGAACACCGTCCGGCGTCCTTGTTCCCCCTCGACCGATGCGCCATGCCGGAGACCATGGCCGAAGAGACAGACAAACCGGAGGGCTGCGTTTGCTGGGTCAAGCGGCGGGAGCCATACGGTACCGAAGACTTCACGTGGCATTACAGGACCGACTGTCCTGTTCCACCCAATCAACATCCCTGGTGGAGAGACTGGTTCCAGGGTGTACTCGATGGAGGGTACAGCTGGGGTGAAGATCCTGAAGGCGGGAGGATGATTGTCGAGGTCGCAGAGGTGAGATATTTTCTTTCACCCGTGTTCTATTCAACCCTTCGGATGCATACGCTGACGATGGTGGGGCGTTGAAGAGACGGCCTAAGTAGTGGCTCCGGCAGACATTCGGCTGCTACTTTATCGAGCCTTCGCACAGTTGTTCTTGAACGCTACTGGATGCATGCTCGTGCTTGTTCGAGGGTTTAAAAACGTTTCTATCAAGTATACAGGATCCTACAGAAGATGAAAAATGTCCAGGTGGAGAATGTTGAATTTTCCTATTGTAAGGGCTGTCACGTAGCGTAGGCGCGCCGGAGCAAGCTTCTTCTTTTAAGGCATCGCGATAGCTTCAATCGGGTCGTAATCCACCCAGTCTTAGACGGAGAATGGTAGACATGTGTTTGTTTCTCGTGTCAATGAGCACATGACTTTACACTGCTTTGACTGTCCACACCTACAAGTCTACAGATAAACACTTTCCAGATTGTAGACCTCACAACGTTCACAAGGGAAAACCCCTCACGTGGACATCACACTCCCAGTAAACCACCGCTCACTTGCACCCCCGGAGGGCCCAGGCATGACTATGGAATCAATCCCCCGCAGGGGGTGCGACCGAGCCGAAGGTTCGGGCGTGGAGAGCCACGCTCAACCATCTTCGATTCAGTAGACACGTTTACAAGCCGGTCTTCACGCGACAGGAGGAGCAACCGAAGGGCGACGGACACAAACACGACAACTTGCACACACACAAACCCCAAACACATGCTGGGCCCACGAGCGGAGCGAGTTGAGACGACCGGAGGGAGGAACTGCCCTTGAGTGGAACGAAAGGGTACACGCCTGGAGGGCGGGTGGACTGTGTGACGGGAGGTCACTTGTCAGAAAGGCCCCCTATTACTTAAGTTTGGTTTATAGGGGGCCCATTGCCCACGGCCCAGGCCCAGCTCTAGACAGGTTGCGCAGCTTCCATGTAGTCACTAGCAGTATTGTACCGGAGGGGAGACACTGAGTCATAAGAAGGTACCGACGGAGGGAGGTTGCCGCGCTATTGGTCAGGTTACGCAGTTTCACTGACCCACACATGGACGGGACAGAACCCGGACACTTTCAAAACCGGGAGGGTATAAGGGGAGGACACCCTCGACACAACACATCCAGGCTGGATTCCTCTTTCCTTTACACACCCGAGAGGGAAATGGTGCCTACGGCACAACTGGAGACAACATGGCAGGTGATTGTCAGAGCCCTGGAGGATCACACACGGTGCCTGCGGCACGACTCGACAAGAGACCCTTCATTGAGCCCGGGACGGTGGTTATACACCTATCGGACAGGGGACGCGAGGACCTGGTGGCTACGCCACGACTAGATGGAAAGCGACGGCAGACGGAGTCAGTGGACGGTAAGGACATGAAGTGATATGATCGAGAGAGAATGGACGGACTTGTTCTGTCCCTCTTCCCTTCTTTCTCTTGAAAGCATCTTCGCGAGAACGGGTTTGGACAAGGTGTGCACTGCACTCCCACTTCGCCCTAGACGGGCTCCGTTCACCGTTTGTTCCCGGGTGAGGGACAAGTCGAATGCGTTCGCGGCGCAGGCTAGCTCACTGACGGCGCCATTGTGGCCGACGACATTGGAGTCCATGACGGGAGTATTTTTCTCTTTTACCGCTCGGTGAGCATGCACACACGGAGGCGATGTGTTGAGAATGTCCATTCAAGCCGGTGACGACGACGACGACGACGACGAGAGTCTCTTCTTGTGTCACAGTACTCAGGCAAGTGATTGACTCGGTGTCGAAGCGTAGCGGATGGGATTGACACACGGAATGGAGTCACTCGGGGTAGTGATTGCCTGGTTGAGATTAAACAGAGCCCGGGCGAGGCATTGACCGGAGACGAACCGGCCACGGTCGAGAGACCGCAGCAAGGTAAGCATACGTGCGGGGAGCATTGCACGGGCAGATCGGATTGTAGACACCCCACTTGCCCGAACGGGACTACACGATGCCCTCGCTTCGTCGTACACATGTAGAGTTCACCCTGGCAGAACAGATACATCGACACACACTCGGTGACGGTCGCATCTTCGAGCAAGGCGGAAGGGGAAGCATGGATGGGCAGGAGGTCGTCTTTTCGGCTCTCTCTGGAGTAGCTAGTTCGCGGAAAGGGGGGATCATGATGCCCTCACCTTGATATGTGACAGCACCGAAGTAGAATATGAGCATGCACTGGCTCGCTGTCTAATGGAATTATGGAATGCACAATTGCACACATGACTTGACACCGATTCACTGCCCACATCCACTTGGCTGCACGTAAACATACAGCAGATCGTGGACCCCAAAGCGTTTACAAGAACACTGGAAAAGATAGTCTACCTCAACGCGTTTACAAGATAATGCACTTCAAGTAAACTACTCTGAGCATCAGCCCGCAGGGCATTTCACCACTACGGAATCAACCCCTGCAGTGCGGACAGGACGCAGGACTGGACGTGGAGAGCCACGCTCAAACAATCTTCAATTGAGTAAGCCCGTTCACAAGACAGTTGACACAGTACAGGAGGAGCAGCCGAAGGGCGACGGACACACAACACTTGCACACACACAAACCCCAGTTCAAGTCACTCCACCACACAGATACACTACAAGCAATACCCCAAACACAACCCGTGGGCCACGACCGGAGGGAGTTTTGTCTGAGCGGAGCGAGTTGGACGACCGGAGGGAGCCCTTTGACGGAGTCAATAGTACGAGCCTGGAGGGCGAAGTCAGTGAGAGGGACGGAGTCACTCGGACACCCAGGCCCCCTATTACTTAAGTTTGGTTTATAGGGGGCCATGGCACAACGGCCCAGCTCTAGACACTCGAGCATCAGAGTGTAGTACTAGCAGTCTCGCACGGGAAGGAAGAGGCTGAGTGCTAAGAAGGTACTCGCCGGAGGGCGGGTGCCGCGCTACTTGTCTGTTTGCTTTAGCTTACTTAGACACTCCACATCTGGACGGGCGCAGGGCCCGGACAACTACAGACACTGGAAGGTATAAGACCGCGTGGTCGCCCACTCTCGATTCAGGCAGAATCCTTCTTCCTCTTTTTCTTCTCTGCTTATTCACCCGGCAGGTGATCCTGTGCAACGGGAACGAGGTGAGGTTGGTTGACTTATGGAGCGAGGCGACAGACGACAGACTGCTAGTCTTTGAATCCAATGGATTGAACTCCTTGTATTGTCTTCATCACCAGGCAGGGTTAATCAGCCTTGGACAGGCGCCAGTTTTCCCGACACATCACGAGAAGTGTTTTTATTGGAACGATAACTGGAAGACAGAAGCCTGTCGTGCGACACTTCGCATCCGAGCCAGTTAGGCTAGACTACTTTGACCTGCGGTCGGTTTACCCTTTGTCTTCTGCCCGGGCATCGCTTGCTTGGAAAGCGAAGAAAGAGACGGAGCGGTCGACGAGAATGCGCCTCGCTGAAGCATATCTTGCTTCTTTCCTCTAGGGAGTCGGTATGGGAAGACCCTTGGCAGCCTCGAAACTGCGGGCGGATCGTCAGTCTTCGCCGGGAAATGTAGCCAGCGGCGTTGCTCTCCGAACAGCTGAGAAGCTCGAGTGGTCTTGTGTTTGTCACCCTTGGTGTCCGCATTCCGCCTGCACACCTCTGCGTGAGCAGTCATGGTGTCGAAACTGGATCTGCTTGGAGTGGACCTCTGAAACGCAGTTTTCCTCTCGCTCTGTGAGTAACAGGCTAGAAGACGTGCTCGACGACTTGCATGTCGGCGTCTGGGGCTCTTGGTTCGAGATGGAGGAAGACTTCTTCCACTACTGCCTTTTGTTGAAGGCAAACAACACATTTGGTGGAAATGGGTTTAGCAGCGCGCACTTCCAGAGGCTCTATGATCTCGTGACCGGAGAAGGTCCGGTCAGTTTCCTCGGGGAAAGTGATGGGAATGCTTTCCGCTTGAGTTGTTGTGCTGTGTACCATTGTAAGACTCTGTCAATTCTCGTCGACAATATTCGGAGGCCAGGTAAGACAGAGATCGGGCATCGTCCTTTGCGTGACAAACTAGAGAACCACTTGCTTGGGGGAGGCGGTCCGTTCTTGCGCCTCAACCCACTGGAAGGGTCGCTTCCGATTGTAGGGACATAATGAAACGTTTTTCCTTATCGCCTGTACAACACCATGCAGGTATTCACAGGTGCACACGTAGACACAACCATGAGATACAAGTCTTCGTCAAAGCGTTGACAAGAGCACCTACTCCGAGTATTGCCTCACACCGTTTACAAGGGGATACCCTTCATTCACTTCACTGCAAATGATCACCTCCGGAGGACTCCTTCATCACTATGGAGGCAATCCCCCCGAAGGGGGGTGCGGACGAGCCGTAGGTTCGGACGTGGAGAGCCACGTTGACGATGTTCAACCGAGTGAATTCGTTTACACGAGAGTAGTACACCGTGAGGAGGAGCAAGTGTCCGTAAGGGCGCGCGACGGACAGAGAACAAACACACACGTGGAGACGGACTGAGTGACGAATACCCACACAAGCACACAACACACCAAGTCACTCAGTCATACAACCCACACCAAAACACTACACCGTTGGGCCGCGACTGGAAGGAGCCCTTCGACCGGAGGGAGTTTTGAACGAGTGGAACGAGGACACTGTGACCGACCGGCGGGAGGGCAACTGTATGGGGGACGGAGTCACTCATACCCATAGGCCCCCTATTACTTAAGTTTGGTTTATAGGGGGCCTCTGCTCCATGGCCCAGTCACTAGAGAATGGATGACCGCACGGGCAGGAATGAAGTACTAGAGGTCCTTGACAGGCGGGAAAGTGACCTAGTCCTAACGACCAATCAGACCGGCGGGAGGAGGTCGGCCACAGAGTGTGGGTTGCATCGCTTCACACACCCACCCAACTGCCTTGGCTGGTGGGGAAAAGTGGAGGGGGTCCCGGACAGAGGTGGAGAGCACCGGTCGGGAAGACGGCAGACGGAGTATATAGAGGAGGCTGTCCCCTCCCCCTCGAAACAGATCTCAGAGATCGTCTCTCTCTTCTTTCTACTTCTTCTGGAGGAGACACCAGCAGCGCTTCTCTTCATTTGAATCTGCTTGGATGCAAGCGGGCAGCCCTAGTCTGCCTGTCCTACGCAGCAAGGAGTAGCCATTCTGGAAAAGCTAGACAGCGGCCCTTTCTCTCACAACCCGGCGGGTTCCGCTCAGATCTCCGGGAGTATCGCCTCGAGTACGACTTGCGGAGTGGGTAAGATTCCATCCCCTGTTACACCAGGGACAGTACCTCCGTGTCGAGAGACACAACTATATACGCTGGTCATGGCGACATACCAGCAGGAGCGCCCATCCAAGTCTGAGGAACAGAAGCGGGACGATTTGCTTTGGGGCAATCGCTTCGTGCCCAAGAGTCACGGAGCAGGTCGTTTGGTCGAACATCTCGTCTGGCTTGCTAACAAGCTGCCGGGGAGCCAGACACTTCACCTTGAGCAGTCGGAAAGGACGCTTTGGAAACCGCTCCCCCCCCTCTTAGCCGCAGGCAATGTCGTTGCCGTGGCTGTTTACTTTACATTCCGAGACCTCGTGGCGATGGATTTGTGCCGGAAGGAGTTGCAGGACTCTCTGGCGGTGACGGCGGACGTCTGGATCAAGTTGTCTGATGACTCCTCTGGGGAAGGAGCCCGGGACTGCTCCATGGTTCTACTCTTTGATCCCGCCTCGCCTCTCGTCGGCCCCATGCAGACGCGAGAAGTCATTTATGCGGTGCAGCATTATTTAGGTTACTGTCAGGCAGCGACCGACGAACAGGAGAGATGCTCCAGAGCCCGAGGATCGAAAGGCAAGGGTACTATTGTCCATGTTGGAACAGCGCGTACGTCGCTGTGATTGAGCTCGTCTCGGAAGGAGAAAGGGACACGTGGTTGGCGTCAAGACAGTCCCTGATCTCGACCCCGGAAACGGTGGATCGTTGGCGTGGGGAAGGGTTTTGCGGACGAGCATTTTGCAGGTAAGGGGTACCAATTAGTAAATATGAACTTTCTCGTACACATTGTTTTCGTGGAGGTCGCAGTCTGAACGTACTTTGGCCCACTCGGCTATCGAAAAGCATGAGAGCATGATATAGACGCGACCCTTCACCGAGGACTGCACACTCCTTTAGTCGCTTTCAATCATCTTCGAGACCCAAACAGATCGTAGACTTCATTCGAGAACCCTGAACCGTTTACAAGAAAGCTTCATTGCCCCGGCTACCACCCCACATCTACAATCCACTCATGACTATGGAGGCAACCCCCCGCAGGGGGTGCACACAGGCCGCAGGACTGGGTGTGAAGAGCCACGCTCACGAGACTTCGATTGTGTAACACATTTACAAGAACACATGCACAGTCACGGGACGGAGGACCGCGACCGAAGGGGAGCAAGGGACGAGACCCAACACACAAAAGGACACGGAAGTTACTCTTGCGCGTAGACAGACGGGACAGCTACATCCAAACACAACCCGTTGGGCCACGACCGGAGGGAGTTTTGTCTGAGCGGAGCGAGTTGGATGACCGGAGGGAGCCCTTTGACGGAGTCAATGGTACGAGCCTGGAGGGCGAAGTCAGTGAGAGGGACGGAGTCACTCGGACACCCAGGCCCCCTATTACTGGGCAGGTTGGATGATGAGTGATAGCATGGCGTTTCCGGGACAGAGAACGCAGCCTGGCGACTTTGGCCAGCCGGGACCGAGAGGTTTCGGTCAGCCCGCACCGAGAGTCTTTGGTGGTGAGAACTGCCTCTTATTCAGGCATGGTCCTGACTAACTCTGTGTGAACAGGTGGAGGAACGGGTCCGTTTCCCGCGCAAGGATTTTCTCTGGCCGCTGCGCGTACCGAATCTCCCGAGAGGGAGCCTGACAAGTGTCAGACCACCGAAGCAATAGTGGACTCGTACGCATCAGACGCATCGGAGCAGGGCGAAGAGGATGGCGTATCGCGGCATTCGAGCCAGGTGGCGGAATCTCCCGTGGAACCCGTACGGCCAGCGTCCCCTGGCAGTATCACTTCGGACAGCGACCACGAGGTCTCGGCTGACGGGTTGGATCTTGAGGAGTTGGCTGCGTCCATGCGGGAAGCCGTCTTAGAAGTTGTAGACAAACGAGTCGTGGCCATCGTGGAAGGTGCTTTGCAGCCACTACAGAAGAGGCTTTCGGACCTTCACGTCGCTGTGAAGGAATATGGAGATCGAGTCAATTCATTGGCCACTCGGAGCAACGAGGGCGGCGGAGAGGCTCGAAGCTGTCCCGCGACATTCAGTCGTTGAGTCGGCAGACAGAGAGTGGGTCCCTCTGTTGTCAAAATGCAGGAGGATCTGCACAGCATCCTTGCCAAGGTGCGTACTTTGGAGAACCATCATGCGGAGACATCTTCGTTGCTCAAGAAGGTGACGCGAGAGAAATCCAGCCGGTCTGCAGACGTGGAGCTCCCGGCCAGTCGGCAGAGTGATAGACACCGGGGCCGTTCTCATCCTCAACCCAGCGGTAGCGGTAGCGGTAGTAGCAGACATCGCCGTGGAGCGGGCTCCAGTCACGGCGGGGAAGATGCGGCTAGACAGGAGCAGAGGCGGAAGAGAGAAAAAGAGCGGGATCGCGAGCGTGACGAGCGGTCAAAAGGAAGAAAGACTTCGACCCGCGACAAACACGGCAAGTTTAGTTGGTGGAGCGGCGTAGTCCCGAAATAGATCTTGGCAGAGACAACACCCTCACTTGTAGATATTTGAACCAAGAATTGGCCCGAACCTCACTTTGGCGTTTGTCAAACAAATGAACGAGAATAAAGGTTATCAGCCGCAATACCCCAACATCGTAGCCCTCAAATTCCGCGTAGACCTCAATCCGTTTACAAGAAAGCTTTATTGCCCCGGCTACCAACCCTCACCAACAATCCCTTCTGAACTACGGAATCAACCCCCCGCAGGGGGTGCAGACGTGCCGAAGGTACGGCTGTGGAGAGCCACGCTCAAGAATCTTCAATTGAGTAACGCGTTTACAAGACAGCTCAGCACCCGACGGGACGGAGGACGTGCGAGTGCAACGAGCAAGCGGACGAGAAAAATCCACCCAACAGACCGAAGTCACCGCGCCAGACACAAGTCACCACGCCATACACAACACACCCAAACGCTACACCGTTGGGCCCGCGACTGGAAGGAGCATTGTCTGAGCCGGAGGCGAGTTGACGACCGGAGGGAAGTCAGAGGTACACGACGGGAGGGAGTGTTCAGTACGAAGGGCGGAGTCCCTTCTACCCCGGCGCCCCCTATTACTTAAGTTTGGTTTATAGGGGGCCTCTGCTCCATGGCCCAGTCTTTAGACACCTTTCACGCACGTGATTGAGTGTGGTACTAAATTGAAGCGACCGGGGGAAGCTCAATCGTACTAAGAGGCAGCCACACAGGGAGGGTGACGCCACGCACTCATTGGATAGTTTGCTGGCACAGCTTACATAGCCACTCCACTACTGGATGGGTTAGAAACCCGGACAGATGCTACAGACACTCGGAGAGGGATGGATAAAAAGGGAAGACCCCCCAGCGGAGCGACTGTCGGGCAGACTTGCTCTTCTTTTTCCACTTTTCCGGCAGCATCACGGAAGTGCATCGTTTTGTTTTTCGAAGAGGAAAGGGACTTGATCCAGGGTAGGTATCCACCCCGGCACGGGACGAATAATACTCCGGAGGAACTTGCTTAGGAAAGCAATAGCGTCAGTCAGCTGACTACGCGCACTCGTTACCGCGGAGACGCGGCGCAGACACAGCGACCACGCTTGGGGACAACGCCACCCGGGCAAGTGGATCTTGCTTTTTCCTCGTGGGACAGACGAAGTGACCGCCATCGATCCGGGAGCGACTCTTCGGACAGCGCGCATCACTCTTGGCAATCATGGAGCATGACGCAGGACTTCGTCAGCCTGATTTCTCCACCGCGGCAGGTGCCCTGAGGCTGGCAGCAGAACATCTGGAGCTCTGCGACAATCTTCCCGCGGTGGACGGCGGTGCTCGTCTGGCGCAAAGGATGGATGCTGTTTTGGAACAGCTCACCATGCTAAACCGGAAGGTCGACGGCATAGATCGCCGGATGGACGTCTTGGATCGCAAGGTCACGGTGTCGTCAGTTGAGCCGTGTTTCCTCTCTTTCGGCATCGGTTGCTGACAACTCCTTTACAGAAACCGCAACGCGGTGGTGCGGGCGCGGAATGCCACAGTCGTGCGCGGAGATATGGACCTGGTGCCTTTGCACAGCGTCCTGACGGGCGAAGTGATTGAGGGTTTCCCTGACAATGTCAACCAGTTGGAGAGATTGCATGGTGGGTGATCTCCCGAACCTGGAACTCCTTACGCTGACACGTCTATTCCTCGACGATAGTACGGGACGTCGATCAACTGTTACGCCACATGGGGGAATCCACCGCCGGCTCGGCAGCGGAGAAGAAGAGGAACCTGAAGTTTGCCACCGGGCTGGTCACACGGGAGCTGTGACGGCTTTCCTTCCCTTTTCGTGCATCCCTTCCTTTTCTCAGCAGCGTCGGCGTTCAGGAGGACTTACTGTATCGGTATATCGCGATACCTTCATATTGCCAAATTGTTTGTATGGGACAAAACGAGCATCTTTTAACCGCATGGAGCTTAACCCCGAGCGAGGGTACCGTGACTGTAATCACCCGGCTACCAATAGACATAATGCAAGCACTTGTCCCTTTACCGCCCATTTAAACCGTTTACAAAGTAGACCCCAATCCGTTTACAAGTATTCCCAACCCGTTTACAAGATCATCACCTTCAAGCAATCCACCCTGAGCATCAGCCCCGCAGGGCATTTCACGACTACGGAATCAACCCCCCCGAAGGGGGGTGCGGACACGCCGAAGGTGTGGACGTGAGGAGCCGCACTTACGACTCTTCAACTGAGTACAGCGTTCACAAGGGAGTAGTACCCAGGAAGGAGGAGCAATTGTCCCCGAAGGGGCACGCGACGGACACACAATACACGCACACAGCAACAGACACCAGTCACTCGCACACAGACGGAAGGTACACTCCACCACACAAACAGACCGAGCAGCTACATCCAACACTCTCCGTTGGGCCCGCGACTGGAAGGAGCCCTTCGACCGGAGGGAGCCCTTGGACGACGGGACGGAGGAAAAGGTACGAGCCTGGAGGGCGAAGTTACTGTGGGTGACGGAGTCACTCACTGCATGTGCCCCCTATTACTTAAGTTTGGTTTATAGGGGGCCATGGCACAACGGCCCAGCCCATAGAGCAGGATGAACGCACGTGATTCACTGCAGTACTAGCACGGATTGACAGGGGGGAAAGAAGTGAGTCATAAGAACCAATGGAGCGGAGAGAACATGGTACGTCACACTTGGTCGGGTTGCGCAGCTTCCACGACTGCTCCACACATGGCCGGGTTGGTGCAACCCGGACAAGCTAGATGCGGAGGTATAAGAGCAACGTCTCGCCCAGTCCAACTCGAGAGAAGTTCTTCTGACTGGCTTCTGCTGGATGCGCCGCCAGATTGACGGAGTTCAGTTGAACGGGAGTGAAAGCCTGCATCTTCTCACAGGTTTCTTTGGTAAACCTCGTGGAAGTTCTTGAGGATTCTAGTGCAAGTGCACATTTCTCTAGCTCTCGTGCTGTCCCCTACCCGCCAAGCAGGCTGCCATGACAGACTACGTCAGCGATGAGGACGGGCGTCGTCCTCTTGTCCATTACCACAGTGGTTCTGGCTCGGATTCGAGTAGCACGGTTCAGGAGTCTCACAGCCCCGGGAGGTCGAGCGATGGAGATGAGATCGTGGAATCTTTTGGTGACGCGGGAGCGGACATATACATGAACTTGCGGAAGCTCGCGGGCGATGCCTGCGCTGCTTTTCGACACGCGGATGCTATGACGCCCGTTCAAGCGGGGGGGTCGACCCTCGCGGTTCATTTGCTCTTTCCAGACGGGAGTCGGAGGGACCAGTGTTGGTCTTTGTTGGAGACTCGACTCAAGGTGAGAGCTGATGTTTGGTTCCCGGGCGCAAAGTCCCGTTCACCTTCTCCTTCGTCGGCATCAGACAGTTCGAGCTCCGCCGGCACACGGGGAGCGATGCATGTTGCATCGTGCTTCTGCTCGACATGGCCTGTCCTCTCAGGCGCTTGGACGGGTCTTCAGTTGGAACGGGCGGTGGAGAAATACCTGGGCTGTCCCGTAGCAGGGGCGGCAGGCTATCTCCGGTACTACGGGTGGCCGACTCGTCCTTCTTTGAGGTCGTGTCCCTAGACGCACATGACTCCTGGATTGAACACCGGAAGGGTTTCTCGCTGGTTGTCGAAGAGTCTGCCATGTTCCGGCAGTGGCAGTGACGGATGATTAGGCGCAGTTTCGGTATGATGCGTCGGCAATTTGGCTTAGGCTTGTCTTCTTTACGTGACGAAATTGGCATCTCATTGGGTATGGATGAGCAAATGCGATTGGCTTTCGGTCCCTTCGTGGGCACTTTCCCTTTTCGGGTGTTGGCCTCGTTTATAGACATTTCCAGTCATTCGGCCTAAGATGTTGTGTTGTAGACGAACATCACCCATCACGCATACAGGAGATATTCTTCTTTCCTAAGCGTTTACGAGAATGCACACAAGACGTAGATTAACCCTTGTTTATACGTATTCCACGCTCCAAGTCACTTGAGGCGTTTACAAGGACACCTTCAACGTTTACAAGAACACTGTTTCAAGAGACATTACTCCGAATGATCACCCCGGAGGGCCATTCCATCACTATGGAATTTACTCCGAAGGAGTGCGGACAGGCCGAAGGACTGACGTGAACAGCAGCGAAGCGTCACGTCAACTCATCTTCAATCGTGTCAATCGTTTACAAGGTATCATTACCCAGTGGAGAGGAGTAGGCGTCTGAAAGGCGCACGACGGACATACAACCACTCCAACACCCGCTCAGTCCCTACTTAAGTCACTTCACCACCCGAGACACATACAAACAGTACCCGTTGGGCCACCCTGACCGGAGGGAGGTGCTTGAGCGGAGCGAGAAAACCGACAGGAGGGAGGTTTTGAACGACAGGATGGAGGCCACCAGTACGGAGCAGGAGGCGAGGGACAGGAGGAAGGGCGGGGTCCCTTCACCCCGGGCCCCTATATGCTTAAGTTTGGTTTATAGGGGGCCTCTGCTCCATGGCCCAGTCTTTAGACACCTTTCACGCACGTGATTGAGTGTAGTACTAAGCAGAAACGACGGGGGGGAGTGCATGCAGTCATAAGAGCCAATCGAACGGAGGGCAGATGGCGCGTCACACATGCAGGTTACGTAGTTTCACTGCATACCCCACTACTGGACGGGCGCAGAGCCCGGACACTGTACGCGTCGGAGACATAAGAAGAGGATTCGCCCACTCACTTGAACCTTGGATGGTTCATTCCTTCATCCACCTTCCATATGGAAGCTGTCGGCTCGGCATCAGGGGCGGGAAATTCCCGGTGGAACTGTTTTTCTTTTGTGTACTCACTCTGCACAGGCCTCCTTCACTCGCGTGAGTCAAGATGGATTGACTGGTCTACCAGCCCGAACGCGTCCTTTGTCTCTCTAGAGACGCGCTACGCACTATTTATCGGGTTAGGTGCCCGCTTGCTGTCATCTGTGCTGGGCACAGTCTTGACTCTTGCCATTTTCACCACACCCGGCGACCGAGCAGAGCTGGCTTGGCCTACAACTTCACGCACTTTTCTCCAGCGGAGCTTCGACAGGAGTCTTCCTCTTCCTGTTGGTGTATAGTGGGCAGCATGGGTCTGCCACCTTTCATGGGACAGTTTCTGCCTACTGTCCTCCACTTCTCACCTCATGGACGGGGACTGCGACTGTTGCGATCACTCGTTTTGTTGGCGCCCTGAGGCTCAGCGCTGGTGCGAGCGATGGGTTTTATTCTGTCAGTGACGAGACAGAATCTTTCAACCCTCTGTCTGTTCGCGAGACTGAGGGACTCCCTCGGTCCCAGGAGCTTCGTCTACTGGGCGGCACAGCGTGCACAGGACGGCCTCTTTTTCCACAGAGTGTTGTTGCATCTCGGTTCGGATGACGCAGGGCTCAGCTACGAAGAGAGTGGTGCCTTGCAGCATCATATGGGGTCAGCGCCAGATGCCGGTATTGCTGCGGACTCGGATTTCTCGGAGGCCATTGTTGCGCGGCTGTCTTGCTGCGCGGAGCAGAGGAGGGTGCAAGTCCTTTCTGGGCTTCTCACATGGTCAGGGACGGTACGGTCAGCTCTGGCTGTGAAGGGCTCCTCCTATTCTCTTGCATGATATACAGAAGGCTGGTGCCTGAAGGCATAGTTTGTCTATAATGTGTGGCTTTCATTGGGGATTTTCATTTGTGTGTTGGGAGCGTCGGCGCTGCGGAGACCTTTCCTATTTTGGATGTCACGATGGCTTCACTTAGGCATGCACTCACACAGAGTAAGGCCTGTAGTAGAGATACACTTCACCCGACCCTGCACTCCACTCGTGCATCTGGCTAGACAATACACGGCTACAGATGGTCATTCCAGACATGCGTAGTCTTTTACAAGAGCGTTCATTCAATCCCTCCAGGACAGACAAATGTCACAAAGATCGTAGACTCTCGACCGTTTACAAGGTCAAACCCCTTCCCGGCTACCACTTTGATGATCACCCCCGGAGGGCTCCTTCACCACTATGGACATTACCTCCGAAGGAGGTGCATCGAGGCCGGAGGTCGAGATGTGGAGAGCCACGCTCACGACTCTTCAATCGAGTATGACGTTTACATGACAGTAGAGACACCACAAGAGGAGCAAACGGAGTGCGACGGACACAGACACGCGTGCCGGCAGACTCAAAGTCAACAACACCACACGTGAAAGTCACTCGTCCCTACAAGCACACAGACCAATCACACACTGGGCCATCCGACTGGAGGGAGGAAGACGACCGGAGGGAGATTTGGACGACCAGAGGGAGGTCAACAGTACCGAGCCGGAGGTGAGGGACACAAAGAGACGGGAGGTCGCTTTGACTGCCAGGCCCCCTATTACTTAAGTTTGGTTTATAGGGGGCCATGGCACAACGGCCCAGCTCTAGACACCTTGAACGCACGTGATTGAGTGTGGTACTAGCACGGATGGACGGGACGGGAAGAAGTGAGTCATAAGAGACGAAACGAATGGTTGCAGGTCTATTCAGTCCAGGGCGCATCTAAAAGTGAGGGTATCGCGAACACCCAAAAGAGTAGGTCCACACAAAACTCCGCTGACGCCGTCGCTCCCGTCTGCCAAAGCAAAAGATTCCATCACACAAGTTGTTCAAGGATGGAGAAGCCGGTGGTCCAATTCATGTCGATGCTGATGTCCTCCACGTTTATGTCTCCAAACAAGGTCGAGTCGCAGTCCAGACTCCACGAGCGGGTCTCGGGAGGTAGGGAAGTATATCGGTTGAGGAATGTGTCGAGATCGTCGGCGGACGGGATCTCCGCAACAGGACAAGAAGCTAGGAAGGAACAGACAGTTAGCCTTACCAATGCTCTCGCAGCTCATGAAAGAGTGTGCAAACGAATCGATGGAGCCACCCTGGGGAATACCAACATGGCTCGGACAGCCCAAAGCCAGTGTCTGCACAGCCATACGGCAAGCAGATCAAGGGATCACTCCCGTCGTCCACTTGGACGGAATAGGTGCCAAAATCCAACACTTGGCTTTCCGCCGTGGGTGCAGTACTGACCCCGACGATGCCTTCTGGAGATGATGAGCGGCCGGGCCGATCGCGTGCGCGCTTCCTCCGTCGGTTTTTGTCTCGCTCCCGCTCCCTCTCGTAAGAGGAGTCGAGTACGCGAAAAAGCTGGCTCTCCGAGCCAAATTGGTCTGACTGTCTACCGACAACCGCTACCCACTTCCGCATGAAGTTGCGGGGGGATTCCCCAGCCTCTGGCCACTTCGCATCTTGTATCTTTCCGCGCGCGCCCTTGCGCTTCCACTTTCTTTCGTTGAAGAAACTGGCGACCCTCTGTCTTGCCGGGGTACAGGCAACAATGTCCAGTACTCCCTGTCCATCGCGGACTGTCCTTCCTCCGAGGACAGCGGTCTTCCTTGGTAGAATCTTCATCAGGAATTGAAGCACGTCCTTCACGGACTCGAGCTCTGCGGGTTCATAAGAAAGCCAAAAGGCCTGGCTCCGCGCGTGTGCAGCCATGACCACATGGCCATGACAAGAAAATAAGAAAGAGTTGATCGTGGGGTCAACCCCACTGAAGAAAAAGTGGGCGGTCTCACGCCCTTATATACCCGAGGGTGGTCTCCAAGACGGGCCGCTCCGCCCCCCTCCATCCGTCCCTTCGTGCACTGCCTGTGAAGAGTGTCCGGGCTTCTTCCCCGGACAGGTGTGGGGTCAAGTAAGCTGCGCAAACTGACCGGTGACGTACCATCCTCCATCCGTCTGATTGGTTCTTAGTACTGCTTGTCTCCCCCCCGTCGTCTTCGCCTATGGACCGCAGTGAAACTACTTTGTAGTAACCTGCCTAGGACTGGGGCTGGGCCGTTGTGCCATGGCCCCCTATAAACCAAACTTAAGTAATAGGGGGCCTGGGTGTCCGAGTGACTCCCTCACTCTACTGTCCCTTCGCCTCCAGCTCCGGTACCTTTGACTCCCTCCAGTCGTGCAAAGACTCGCTCCGCTCAGACAGTGCTCCTTCCAGTCGCGGGCCCAGCATGTAGCTTTTGTACTGTGTGTCTGCGTGACAGTGACTCGATCTGTCAGTGTGTTCGCCTGGCTCACAGTTCCCTTGCTCTCTACGATCGCTCGGTCAAAACTGCTTGTTTTGTATGACTGTCTCTGCCCGTCGTGTGCCCCCTTCGGGACACTTACTCCTCTTGTAGTGTTTACTGCCTAGTAAACGACGAGCTCAGTTGAAGACCCGTAAGTGCGGCTCTCCACATCTCGACCTTCGGCCTCGATGCACCCCTTCGGGGTAATGTCCATAGTCATCAGGGAGTCCTCCGGAGGTGATCAAGAAGTCTATCTCTTGTAAACGCCAAATGACCTTGTAAACGTGTATGGTGTATGAGGCTTACGATGTTTTGCCGTGTCTGTTGGTAGCCAAGGTCTGGGTGATTTACGTCTAGGCCAGGCAAAGCAAAGGTGAACCACAGTCAAGCAAAGTGGAGACTACTACGAAGGCATTATTCAAGACTGCATGTCATTGTGTGCTAAAATGTGCGTGCATGTGCAGGTGAAGCCATCGTCATATCCTACTCCGGTAAATGCCTACTCCACAACGCCGACGCTCCACGACGCAAAGCGAAGTTCAAAAAAACAAGAGCAATGAGTGATAGCTCCATCAATCAGACCTGCCGTGTCACCACACCCACAAGATGCTTCAGTTGTCTCCGTTTCTCTTCCAATCGACCTTCCACTGGCTCGCCCAGCTGCTCCAGTAAGCTGTTCACGTCTCGTGCTGATATTCCCACACAGTCAGCCAAAAAACACCAGGCGCAACCCGGGCGAAAGACTACCTTCCAATCGTTCCAACTGACCCAGAGTTCCTGGGAAGCGTTCCAACCGCTCGCCCGTGATGACGCTGCACAAGGGCTCCAACTCCATGTTCGAACGCACCACCACGGCGTTCTGGGCTCGAGCCACTGCGTTCCGTCTTCTTCAAGTCCAGGGTTAGCACTCCATGCCAGACAAGGGAGAAGGCGGCTGGCTTACTCTGCAGTCACCTTGCGGTCCAAACCGTCCACCTTGCGGTCCAAGTCGTCCAACTTCCTATTGACTGTGCGAATCTCATTCCGCATGTCCCGCAAGTCGTTGCGCATAGCGTCAAGCGCCTCCGCGAGTCGAAGGCCGCCATCTACGGCGGGTAGATTTTGACAGCGAGCGACCTGCTCCGTCAAGGTCTCTAGGCTGCGAACAGCCAAAGGAAAGTCGGGTTGCTGCAACGCCTGGTCCATGGTCGCATCAAATTGGGCTCTCTCGAGCAATCGATTCAGTGAAGGTATCACAACGGCTCTGCCTGACGGAAGGGCGCCTCATGCAATGATGTCGTCGCAAAGACGTGGTCGCGTCTCCTCAGTAACCAAGTCACGTAGTCACCTGACCCTGTGTGCTTTCATAAGCAGAATCCTCCGGAAGTTTACTTGTCCCGTTGTCCGGTTCGGGTGCCTACCCTCCACAATCGAGTCGTTTCCTCCGTCCACGATGTTCTTATCAGCTTCACTCCGTTTAATATAGAAAGAAAAAAAAGTCTTCCTGACGGTCGCTCCTGCTGGAAGGGGAACCATCCCCTTTTATCTATACCTCTCTCTGTAAAGTGTCCGGGACTCTTGCCCGTCCAGTTGTGGAGTCATGCAACCACTACGTGCAAGCTGACTTGTTGACGTGGTACAGTCCCTCCGTCCCGTACCTTCTTAACACCTCGTCCCGTCTATCCTTTCCGAGACTGCTAATAACTACATGGAAGCTAAAGCAACCTGTCTATGGGCTGGGCCGTTGTGCCATGGCCCCCTATAAACCAAACTTAAGTAATAGGGGGCCTGGGTGTCCGAGTGACTCCGTCCCTCTCACAATCCTCGCCTCCAGCTGCGGTACCTTTGACTCCCTCCAGTCGTGCAAAGACTCCCTCCGGTCGAACAGCTCCTTCCAGTCGCGGGCCCAACGGGTACTGTTTGTACGTGTTTGACGCGTGGGAGTGACTTGAGTCTGGCTTGAGCTGGTGTCGGTGCATTGTGTGGTCAAGTGGGTGGGTGACTGAGTGAGCAGTAGAGCAGAGTAGAGTGTTGTGTGTGTGTGTCGTTGAACTCACTCAGTCCGTGTTTCCGTCTGTTGTGTTTTGATCTCGTCCCTTTGCTCGTTGCACTCGCAGGTCCTCCGTCCCGTGACTGTGTAGTTGTTCTTGTGAACGTGTTGACTCGGTCGAAGAGTTGTGAGTGTGGCTCTTCACAGTCGAACCTTCGGCTCGCCTGCACACCCTTCGGGCGTGGGTTCCGTAGTCATGAATGATTCCGGGGTGATCAGAGGAGTGGATTACTTGAAGGGTTTCACCTTGTAAACGTGTGTGGGTCCACCATCTTGTATCTACACCTTGTAAACGTATCGCTCTACTCTATCTATGTGTTCCTTCCCGTCACTCATCCTGTCTTGCTCCGGCCTTAAGCCTGCCGTCTTTGTTTCTTGTGAACGATGTACTCAATTGATGAAGTCTAGTGTACGTGTCGGATGAAGCCATCACGATTGCCGTATCGGGCAAGTGGGGTGTCTACGGTGCGATGTGTGACCAGGCCAGTGCACTCCGCGTGCATCCTCTGTCTTTATCCTCCGTCTGTCTCTCGACCATACGAGTCCTCAGCTCCGCGCAATGCAATCTCCGGGCACGTCAACAAGGTCAACCTCCTGCCCTTCCGGGTGACTACTCCATCCCCCGCGGAGTATGATAGATACCATGCCTCTCGGCAAGGGTTCCACCGGCTCGTTGCACTCACCAAAAGTGTATACAGCCACTTCCCATCCTGTTCGTGTTGGCCGGGGTACGGGACTCGACGGAGCGCCGGAGCGCATAGTGCATTTCCCTTCTTTTCAAAGAGGGGAAACAAGCGGGAGCGCAGCCCGCAGGGCGTAGTGGGAGCGCGTGAACAAGATACCGACTTGAGCTTCACGAGCGGGAACAGAACGGGATCGGAGCCCGTCCAGGGCGGAGAGGGAGTGCTGTGCACCAACCAGTGCTCACATTGTCCTGCTTTGTTCTCTTTTAACGAAAAAGAGGAAGTAGATGAAGAGAACAGTCTTCCGTTCTTTCGAGTCGAGGGGCGGTAGCGCCTCCATCTCCTTGTCGGGTCGTGGACACCAGTCTAGTATTCTTCTCCCGTGAAGAAGGGAACGGGACACAGAACGAGCCTGCCCCATCAGTCCTCACGTCCTTTCCGTCCTTGACCTGTTTCCGTTTGTCAGGCCTCTCGTCCTTTTCTCTTTCCTCCGTCAGTGCTTGTCGTCCACTGTCCGTGTGTCCTTTGAGCGTCACTTCCCGTGTCTGTCTGTTCCCGAGTCCCCCCCGGTCCACAGTCTGTCAACTGTTCTTACCATTTGCTCTTTGCGAGCCGCAGGCGAGGTCAGCGGAGCGCTTGCGCGGAGTGTGAACGCAGTTCAGAAGAAGGAAGAGAGGAAGAGAACCATCTGGGTTCAAGAAAGTGGGCGAACCCTGGGTTCTTATACCTTCCAGTGTCTGTATCCGTCCGGGCTCCCAACCCGTCCTGTAGTGGGGTCATGCAACTGCGAAGCTGACCAAGGACGTAGTACCCCTCCGCCGGGGTGTACCTTCCTATGACTCAGTGTCTCCCCTCCGGTACAAAACTGTTATAAACTACATCCAAGCTAAAGCAAGGTGTCTAGAGCTGGGCCATGGAGCAGAGGCCCCCTATAAACTTAAGGATATAGGGGGCGCGGGGGTATGCGTGACCTCCCGTCACACACAATCTCACCCTCCGGGCTCGGTCACAGTGTCCTCGTTCCTCTCGTCCAGTTCCTCGTTCCACTCGTCAGATCTCGCTCCGCTCATACAAAACTCCCTCCGGTCGTGGCCCAGGCTGTGATTGGTTGTTGTTGTCGTGTGGTGAACAGTACGTGTTGGGACTGAGTGACTGGGTTGTGTTGTGTCTGTCGTGTGTTTGTCACTCAGTCTCTGGTAACTAACTGTTCAGTGGGTGAGTTGTTGTATTGTGATGGTGCGTCGCGTGCCCTTACGGACACTGGCTCCTCCCGTCGCGTGAAGACTTTCTTGTGAACGTGTTTACTCGGTCGAAGAGTCGTAAGTGCGGCTCTCCACAGTCAGTCCTTCGGCCTGCCTGCACCCCCCTTTGGGGGGATTGTTTTCGAAGTCATGGATGGGCCCTCCGGGGGTGATCAGAGGAGTGGTAGGCCGGGAAGGGGTTTCCGCTTGTAAACGTGTTTGGGTACACTATCTTTGCTAGTCCCCTTGTAAACGCGTTGGATGAAATGAAGGCATCGTGCCACGGCGATGCATCCAGTGCGCGTGCATGACGAGTGGTAGCCAGGGATGCATTACGATTCAGTCTACGTGTGTGTATGTAGGCGGCAGCGGGTGCCTTTATACCCTGGATGTGACCCATTTGCGTCCGGGTCTCACGCCCGGTGAGTAGTGGATATGTGCATGGAAGCTGATGGAAGGTGCCTGTCATTGGCAGTGTTCCCTCGCGGTCACAATGTTCTAGATGTTTCCCTCACAGTCACTTTGTTCTACATTGTCTCTTCCAGGCACGTTCGTATTACCATTGAGCTCCGTCCCGTCACATTGTTCTGGATTGTTCCCTCCAGTCACTTGTCAAGATGAGGCCATCGTCACCACTGGTGTTGCGTGTGCGGGGCGGTCCCCTTGGTGTTCTACAATCACTTTCGTGATACCTCGTGTGTGTTCATGTCCAACACTCCGTTCCAGTAAGGACCACAGGCCATGATGGCGCTGTCAGTGAAACACCCTCGGGGTTGTTGAACGCATGTTCAAGATATGTTACCGGGAGCAAACGGTAAACGAAGCCCGTGCAGGGCGCAGTGGGAGTGCCGTGGACACCAGTGCAGATGATTCACCTGACGGGAACAAGTGGAGCGGCCCGCCAGGGGCTGTTGCGGGAACGAGTGCACTCGGGAGTCGACTCCAGTCATCCACTTTGACAACCGATTCCGTTGCACGGGAGCAAGTGGAGCGAAGCCCCGCCAGGGGCTGTTGCGGGAACGCGTGGACTAGTCAGTCGGTACCAGTCGCTTATTGCGAGCCGCAGGCGAGGCCAGCGGAGCGCTTGCGCGGAGTGTGAACGTAGTTCAAAAGAAAGGAACAATCCTGTTCCAGTTCGGTTCTCTCGAGTCAAGAGACGACAGAATCAATCTGTGCCGTGTGTCTCTAGTGGTGCCGCCGGCACCATGTGTGATCCCTCGGGGAAATGTCCATGAGCTACTCACTTTTCGTCTCGAGTCGAGGGGCGGTAGCGCCTCCATGCCCTTCCCGGGATTTTGAAAGAGGAAGAGAGGAAGAGAACCAGCTGGGTTCCGTGAGGTGGGCGACCCCTCGGTCTTATATGCCCTCTGGTGTGTGTGAGTCCCCACTAGCGTCCGGGTGCTGCCTGCCCCGTCACTGTCCGGGTGCGTGTATGGAAACCGGTGGTAACCTACACGATGACGTGGCACTCTTCCTCCGTCAAGTAGCCTCTTATGACGCAGTCTCTTCCGTCCCGTGCGAAACTGTTATGAACTACACTCTGATGCTCGAGTGTCTAGAGCTGGGCCATGGAGCAGAGGCCCCCTATAAACCAAACTTAAGGATATAGGGGGCGCGGGGGTATGCGTGACCTCCCGTCACACACCGACTTCGCCCTCCAGGCTCGTACCAGTGTCCTCCCTCCAGTCGTCCAGTTCCTCGTTCCACTCGTCAGATCTCGCTCCGCTCATACAAAACTCCCTCCGGTCGTGGCCCAGGCTGTGATTGGTTGTTGTTGTCGTGTGGTGAACAGTACGTGTTGGGACTGAGTGGCTGGGTGAGGTTGTGTTGTGTGTCTATGCCACTCAATCCGTCTGTGTACTTTGTCTGTCGGTGAGTTGCTGCATTGTGTTGATTGTCCGTCGCGTGCCCGTTGGACACGTGCTCCTCTTCACTTTGTCGAGTGCTCTTGTGAACGTAGTTGCTCGATTGAAGAGTCGTAAGTGTGACATCCACGCCTCGACCTTCGGCCTCGTCGCACCCCCCTTCGGGGGGGTTGTTTTCCGTAGTCCTGCTTGGGTCCTCCGGAGGTGATCACTCAGAGTTGGTAGCGCTTGAAGTATATTATCTTGTAAACGCTTTGCCCAGTCTGTAGCCAGGGCAGTGCAATGTTCTTGTAAACAGTTCATGTGCATAAACTTGTGGCTAGTCCTTGTGAACGTAGTCACTCTATCTGTTCTACTCAATTATAACGCTCCCGCGCGGTCACTGCCGCTCACAGCGAGTCCTCCAGAAGTAGTGCCGGCCAAAGAAGTGAAGCCATCACGACTACTGTATTGGGCAGGTGGGGTGTCTACGGGTGGGACGCGTGGTCGAGCCAACGCACGCCTGCATGCCTGTATCCTTACCAAGACATTGTCCTCCGGTCTACCGGGTCTGTCTTCAATGGGTCGGAGGTGCCAACTTGCCAGGGGCATTCATACTCCAAGTCTCTCCTGTGTGGGATCGCGGAAGAGGTTAGGGCGCAGTCATAATCGCTGAACATGACATCAAAGTCAATCCCTTGTTTTGCGTCCTACGGTCCAAGTCAGGCGAGAACACAAAAGACTCTCGTCATCATCATCACCACCACCAACTCGGGGGAGTATTCCAAAGCAGTGTCCACATGGCAATCCTTCCGAGCGCTCGTCCGCAGCAGTTGCGGGGATTGAACCAGGTTCTTTACCTTCGTCGCAGAAGAAGGGAGACTCCGTGGGCTCGCTAAGTGCAGGTGAGAAAGCCGATTTCTGCCTGAAAAGCGGGTAGACTCGTGGAAGCTTCCCGACAGCCGCCTGTATCAACTCGGGACGCTCATTGCTGGGCTTCGTCCGGGGTAGGTCGGAGACACATGTCTCACTAACCAAGCTAGATGGCCTCTCGGCCGAGTAGGCGAGACAAACAAGCCCCCGTCGCCTTCTCTGAAAAGGCAAGACATCAAGTATGCACTCCCTTCTTCCGTCCCGGGTCATTGAATGAAGAAACGGGGAAAGCCATCCGGCCCTTACACTGTCCCTAGGAGAGACTTCCCGTCTGCTTGCTTTCGGCATTCAATCATCTTCGATTCAGGTTGCGTCGACTGGCGAGGCTTCCTCCTCGGTGTGTCCCGGACCAAGGTGTATTCGTATAGTTGCGAGGGATTCACATCCCCGCCACCCGTGGCTTTCTCTCGAACATGACCTGCCTGGGTGAAAGATGGAAAGAGTCAAACCTGCTGGGTTCGGTTTGAGAGGGTGGGCTACCCCCCTTCTTATAGATCACTCCGTTGATGTGTGCTCCCCATTTCCGTCCGGGCTTCTCACCCGTCCACCTGCATGGATGTGTATGGAACCTAAAGGAACCTACACTTTTGTGACGTGGCACTGTCCCTCCGTCCAGTAACCTCTTAGCACCCAGTCTTGTCTGTCCCGTCCAACACTGCTAGGACCACAGTCAATCACGTGCGTTCATGCTGTCTATGGGCTGGGCCGTTGTGCCATGGCCCCCTATAAACCAAACTTAAGTATATAGGGGGCGCGGCAGTCAAAGCGACCTCCCGTCTCTTTGTGTCCACTCCTTCCTGTCGTGTACTGTTGACCTCCCTCTGGTCGTCCAAATCTCCCTCCGGTCGTCTTCCTCCCTCCAGTCGGATCCTCACTGCATGTGCCCCCTATTACTTAAGTTTGGTTTATAGGGGGCCTCTGCTCCATGGCCCAACGTACTAGGTCGCTTACGTAGTTTGCAGACAGTCCATAGCGCGGATGTGATTGGAGAGAACGGAGCCGGTCATAACAGGGAGTGAGACGGGATGGATCACCCTGGTCAATCAGACAGGTTGCAACGCTTCCTTGACTGCATCCACTACTGGCCGGGCGCAGAGCCCGGACACTTTCGCCGCTACGGAGTATTTAGAGGGGGGCAGCCCCCCGTCTCTTTTGATCCAGGCATCCTCTTTTCTTTCTCTTCTTCGTACTGTCGGGACGACACTGCCAGAAGCCAAGTTGCTGTACACGTTGCACCTTACCATCTTGCTTTCTTGAAGCAAGTCCTACTTGTGCCACTTCCACTTTCCAGTGACGGAGTCTTGTACTGCCAGGATGTCGCCCGTGGTGAAGCGCGGCCGCAAGGCTGATGAGGTAAATGACCCGTCGGAAGGAACGACGCAGCCCAGGGCAAGACTCGAGTGATGTCTTTGACAGACGCAGACGTGGCGTCGGGGAGCAGCAGCTCCTTGGCTGTCCTCGGAGGCCGCTTGGTCCAGAGTATGTGCAGCGGAGACCGGGGCCCGGAGGGTCGAAGCTTTCCTATCTCAGCAGCGCGGATGCAATCTCGTTGGCGAATGACATGTTTGGCCATGACGGATGGAGTTCGGAGGTCATCGAGCAGTCTTGCGAATCCCGCACAGAAGGCAACCCCGCGAAGTGGATGACGGAAGCCGTGTGCAGGGTGCGTGTCACCGTCTTTTGGGTGACCAGCGGAGCCCCAACTTCCCACGATGGAACCGGCTTTGGCGGGGGCGACAAGCGCAACACGAGGGCGGAAGCCATGGAAAAGGCCGTCAAGGAGGCCGAGACGGATGCTCTCAAAAGGGCCCTCCGCATCTTTGGCGAGGCATTGGGAAACTGTCTCTACAGCAAGCCGTATCTCTCCTGGATCGAGAAGGTCCGGGCCCGAGAGGGCAAGCAGGATGAGACGAAGCACTACACCGCGGATATATTGGTCCGGAAGCCTCGGAGTGGTGGTCTCCCGAGCAGTCAATCCACTCTTTCCTTTCCACGGCAGGGCAGTCTCCCCCGTCCGGGCAGACAATCAGTGCGTGCATTGCCCACGAATGATTACTACGACGATGAAGAGCTGTTTGAGGATGTTGGCTTTGAACCGTAGTCCAGTGGTGCTGCGTTAGCAATTGTGACTGGATTTGCGCGGGTGCTGTCGATGACTCGTTGAAGGAGGACTTCACGACAGCCTCACGCCGGGGGGCTGGATGGCAGCTTCACCTTGATCCAAGGGGTATCACCCACACTTGACTGTAGGACAATAAAATGGAATAGTCACGCTCTGTCCCAATGAATGTGCCCTTGACTCCTCACACGTTACCCTTCCACGTAGACTGCTCCTTCATAAAGCGTTTACAAGGTGATCCACCAAGATAGTATGCCAACTCTCGTTTACAAGGACACTCGACTCCAAACACTACAACCCTGAGCATCACCCCCGGAGGGCACTTCAGAGCTATGGAAATTACACCCGAAGGGTGTGCACGGAGGCCGAAGGTCGACGTGTGAGAAGCCACGCTCAAGAGACTTCAACTGAGCACTGCGTTCACAAGACGGTTCAACACCACAGGAGGAGCACGCGTCTGAAAGGCGCGCGACGGACACAAACATACACACACACTGACCTCCAACAAGGTCACTCACCCACCGGACCCACACGCAACAGCTACACCCCACGCACTCACCGTTGGGCCCGCGACTGGAAGGAGCATGTCTGAGCGGAGCGAGTCTTTGCACGACTGGAGGGAGTCAAAGGTACCGCAGCTGGAGGCGAGGATTGTGAGAGGGACGGAGTCACTCATACTCTTGGGCCCCCTATTACTTAAGTTTGGTTTATAGGGGGCCATGGCACAACGGCCCAGCCCATAGAGCAGCTTTCACGGCACGTGATTGCATGCAGTCCTACACTCATCGGACGGGACGGGAGTGGGTGCGTCATAAGAGGCTGGGGGAGGGGACCGACCACGCGCGTCAAAGAGGCAGCTTCCGCACAGGTTGCATGCCGGGGTCGGGTTACGTACAGTTTCCATGACCTTCCACACTGGTAGGGGTCGGAACCCGGACAGATTTGGTACGGAGTATATAGAGGGGGGCGCCCCCCCTCACACACTCGACAGAACCCAGCACGGTTCTCGTCTTCCCTTCTTTCTTTCTTCACCCAAGCGGGTGTTTCTTGGAGAATACAGCAGCCGGAGAGGACCGGATCTACGTTCATTGTCGGCATAAGACAGGCCACTTAGTCGGGAGATCGCATCAAGGTAGGCGTATGGACACGGAGGGATAGACTGGACGAAGGGAAGAACGGAGTGCATCCAGGGACAGGACAGTGGAGAACATCAGTTCTTTCTTGATCGTCTTGGCGGACGCATTCTCACATGCATGGGAGCAATGGTCGGAGACGCACACCGTGAGGACTGTCAGAACCCGCACAGGATCCTGTGTCTACTTACCGGGGCAGCTATTCTGTTTGGACAGAAAATCAAAGGAGTGAGCTCCTTAGGATCCCTTGGTGGAGGCCCGAGCAAGGGCGACGGGAACCCACGACCTGGAAAGTGGCTCCAGGGAGACATGCAACGGGGGACAGAGGAACGGTTGTCGGTAGTCAGTGACGGGAAGGAAACGGTCGGATCAGCACGTCTATAGAGACATGCACTGAACATACAGGCATGTGCACGGTTTCTGAGTATTATCCCGGGCGGGATTCATTCTCCACTTACCCGAGACGGACTCGAACTCGGACTTGGACTCTGATTTGGATCCTGACTCACAGCAGAGTCTAGATCTTCCGTGTCAGCCACGAACTGCACACTTACTTCTTTTCCGGGCACGGAGAAAAGGGTAAAGAGTCGAGCCGGAGTAGGTACTCGCACCGGCAGTGACTGCTTGATGGGACACGGTAGAACGATACGGCGGACTGGAGGACTATCTATGCTGAGGATACACACGCGCAGGCGTGCGTTGGCTCGACCACGCGTCCCACCCGTAGAGACCCCACCTGCCCAATACAGTAGTCGTGATGGCTTCAATCAACACGTACTCTAGAGCCCAAAAGCGTTTACAAGTGCTCCTTAAGCGTTCACAAGGGAACAGAAGACGCGAGGCTTTGGTCCGAGCAAGTCAGGATGAGTGACGGGACGAGCAATACTGAAATCGTTTACAAGAAAGCTTCATTGCCCCGGCTACCAACTCCTCAACCCCAATCCCCTTCCGAGATACGAACAGAACACCCGAAGGGTGTGCGCCGAGGCCGAAGGTCGAGGTGTGGATGAGATACTCACGAGAATTCAATCGAGCAACACCGTTTACAAGACAGTAGTACCCCGTCAAGAGGAGCAATTGTCCCCTTGGGGGCAAGCGACGGACACTGACAAAACACACGAGAAGAAACATCACACACTAAACCCACGCAACCCGGCACGAGCCGTGGCCCGGAACGGAGTGAGGATCCTAGAGCGGGACGCGACTGTGTTGAATCGAGAGGGAGTCTTGTGGAGCTGGAGGCGACATGGATGAACGGAGTGAGCAATGGAATAAAAGTGCTTTACAGACAGTCCACACACAAAAAACAACAGCTCATCCTCACCAGCTACATACAAACACTACACCGTTGGGCCCGCGACTGGAAGGAGCTGTTCGACCGGAGGGAGTCTTTGCACGACTGGAGGGAGTCAAAGGTACCGCAGCTGGAGGCGAAGGGACAGTAGAGGGACGGAGTCACTGCTACTCTTGGGCCCCCTATTACTTAAGTTTGGTTTATAGGGGGCCTCTGCTCCATGGCCCAGTCTTTAGACACCTTTCACGCACGTGATTGAGTGTAGTACTAGCAGTTTTGGAGGGGACAGACAAGACTGAGTCATAGGAAGGTACACCCCGGAGGAGGAGTGCCACGCGATTGGTCAGGTTACGCAGTTTCACTGACATCCACTTTGGGCCGGGCTGGAGACCCGGACACAGGTGGGGACTCACACCAGCCGAGAGGCTATAAGAAGCAGGCTTCGCCCATTTCCAGACAGACCTGGGGAGGTTCTCCTCTTCTTCCCTTTTGTTTTGCTTGTCAAATCATCCGGAGTAGTAGACTACTGTCAAAGGTGAAATGTCCAGACACGGAGCCACGCGAAGGCGACCGACCCTAACCCCACTCACATCGCACAGGCAGTGACGACAGACTCGTTCTGTCCCTCTTCTTTTTCTTTCAGAAGACTCTGGACGAGAGTACCTGGTGGCTGTGCCACGAATCGGGAGACAAGAAAGTGATTGTCAGCAAGCTTCAGACTGGAGGCTGGACAAGTGTCCACGGCACTCCCACTGCGCCCTAGACGGGCTCCGTTCACCGTTTGTTCCCCGGTTGATGAGAGATCACATGCGTTCAACAACCCCTGAGGGGGGTGTCTCACTGATAAGGGTTCAATGGCCCAGCGGACATGGCTAGAGCAAGAGGAGCGTGCACCAAGAGTGAAGACTACGATGTGGGTTGATCATCGTGTACAAAGTTGTACAAGATCCGCTTCATTCAGCCACCCGGTGGGGAAGACTTCGTCTGGAGACGGTCGTAGACGATGCTTTGAGAGCTACATGCATCTGAAGAGACTGAGAACCAGGATGAGAGCCACTTCCCCTATAGGACCTGGAGACACGGCAGCAAGGGACGGGATTACCTTTGCTTGCAACTTGGCACTGCCTCTTTACTTTTGCTTCTTCGACCGCGCGTGGAGCAAAACCGGAGTATATATCACTTGGTGAAGTGATGAACTTTAACCTAGGATTGTCCACCCTGACGGCCCCAAAAGGATTGATCCCGAGTCGAGGGCAACGTGGCCACGCAAAGCAGGCGGTGTGACGCTTGGCATAGCCCAGTCGAACCAATATGGCTTCTTATGAGGATCATGAATAAAAGATTGCAAGGGTAACAGACACGTGCTGCCCGTCAGGGCCACATCGCACCGTAGACACCTGACCTGCCTAAAACGGGGCTCCGAATAGCATCACCTCTCGATGCTCGACAGACTGCATTGCCACGTAAGAGATGGAATGGGATGTCCTTCATGGACCGGGAATGGCTTCACCCTTTTACCCGTCTAATCAACCGGACGCACTCGAGAAGAGACCGTGACTGTGACTGTATCGTACATGACCCACCCACGTAGACCAGACTCTCCAAGCACTCCGCTCTTGGCTTTCAACTAGACCCTACACGTTTACAAGGAAGCGACTCCAGATGGTAGAGTAACCCCGTTTACAAGTGAATGATACTCCAAGCGCTACCAACCTTCATCTCCAGTCCCTTCCGAGATACGAACAGAACCCCCGCAGGGGGTGCGACGAGGCCGAAGGTCGAGGCGTGGAAGCAGCGAAGCGTCACATCAACACTCTTCAATTGAGTAACCCGTTTACAAGACAGCTCAACACTACAAGAGGAGTAAGTGTCCCGTAGGGGCACACGACGGACTGAACACTACACCTCACAAACCGACACACTCATTCACAGAACACGTCCAAGTCACTCTCCCATACAGACACACTACAAACACTACACCGTTGGGCCCGCGACTGGAAGGAGCATTGTCTGAGCCGGAGGCGAGTTGACGACCGGAGGGAAGTCACCAGTACACGACGGGAGGGAGTGGACACAAAGAGACGGGAGGTCGCTTTGACTGCCGCGCCCCCTATTACTTAAGTTTGGTTTATAGGGGGCCTCTGCTCCATGGCCCAACGTACTAGAGCAGTGTGTTACTACAAAGTAGATACACTGCAGTTTTTAGCACGAATTGACAAGCAGGAAAGAAGTGGGTCGTAAGAGCCAATGGAGGGGACTGAACATCGCGCGTCAATTGCTCAGTTTGCTGCACAGCTTACTTGACAATATCCACTTATGGACGGGCTGAGAGCCCGGACACTTTCGCCGCTACGGAGTATTTAAAGAGGGCTGGGTCCCTCGCCGACTGATCTCGGGATCTCTCTTGTCATACCCTGGTCCGCCGCCAAGTCAGAGATTGACTTCTGAACACCTGTTGCTGGGTAGCTTTGTCTGGAGACCAAGAGAATGGCTTATTATCGACGAAAGTCGGGCTCCCGCTACTCAGGTGGTTCGTATCGTCGGAGGGGAGGACG